ATCGCTCCATGACCGCTACCGCTTAAGCCGAGTGGTGTCATTGTGTTTAGACCTATACCTCCGGCTGCCCCTCCTGATCCGGATGACTTGAGAGAATGTATCGAGTTTGCTAGGGAGCCGCCTTCGGCGGCGTCTTCCGAGGGCGAGGCATCTCTTGTTGGGTCAAAGTCGGGACCGTCATCTTGGTAAAGGTCTTGTATCGGCTCTGGGTCGAGTTGTACAAGCGAGATAAAGGTCTCTTGCGACGCCTTGTGACTTAGTTGGTGGTCCCGAGGGTCCAGGCCGTGAGGATCCATGGTGGATGGACTGGACTGGCTATGGTTGGAAGCGTCGGGTTGCGCCAGTCTCTCGCAACCGTTCCTTGTTCGTTCGTCCTTCTTAAGAATGTTTTCCTTCCAATTCGTCTCTTCTGATGCTGTTTGTGGTCCAAATTGGGATTTCAGGAGACCTGGGCAGGTTTGTCGTCAGGAATCAAACAGGGCCTGGAAAGTTAGATGGGTTGGAGGTTTCGGCCGGGGGTTCTTTAGGTGCGTAAGTACTGGCGCATTTGTTGAGTGACCTGGAGCAAGGGTGGGTCCTCACTGGCTCACCTGGCAGCCGTTGGGGTCCTCAAGTGGATCCCTCGCTGGTCAAGCATCAAGTACCTCCTCTATGTACGCAGTCCATGTAGGTACCTCTAGCTTGGAGAGTTGGAGGTCCCGCCAACGCAAGGACAGTAGGTAAGGTATCCTCTAAACCGCCTGGTGCAGTGGGGATTGGCGGTGTGGTGGAGTTTCTGTGTGGGGATAGCTTCCCCACGTTTCCTTGCTGTCCGTCAAACTTGCATCAAACGAACTGCTGTGATTTGTGCCGCCGGCAGTTCTTGATCTTTGGGTGTCACCTCGCACGCAGGCAGGCGCGCATCATCTCGAGTTGCAACTTCACGTCTGTTCACTTCCCACAAACCATACCAAAGTCCAACACGCAACGAATTTGAAAACATTATAATTGACATCCCGAGAATCGCATATCGAGATCAAAGCAAAACAGTCCTACTCGATAGTCTTGTTTACATTCCCGTCAAAATGCCTCCAGTAAGTCGCCATCTAGCCATGGCTCCCCACGCAATCCTGATCGCGATATGTTAACTATCCCCTCAAACAGCGCCACCAAACCCTCCCACCAGCTCAAACTTCCTCCGCCCGCGAAGCCCTCCAATCTTTCTACTGCCAACTATGCCAAAAGGGATACAGCCGCATGAACGACTATGAAGCCCATCTCTCCTCCTACGACCACAGCCATAAGCAGCGCCTTAAGGATATGAAGCAGATGGTGCGGGATCCCCAAGCTGCCGCACGTGCTAGGAGACAGGAGCAAAAGAATGAGGGCGTCATCTCCATCAAGCTTGGAGAAGCTGCGGCTGGTGGTGCTGGTGCTGCTGGGGGCGGCGGCGGTGGATTCAAGAAGGGCGGGTTCAAAAAGTCAGGGTTCAAGAGCGCCTTTGTTCCTGTTGGGGAGAATAAATCGGCTACATCAGCGACTGCTGCACCGGCTCCAGGAACAAGCAGTGATACAGCGCCAGATGGCCAGCCGGGGATTAAGAGGGCACTGAGAAGCGAACTGGTTGAGAGCGACACCGAAGACGAGGGATACGAGGTTTACGATCCTAGGAAACCGACTGATTGAGCGGGAATGTCATTGGAGGATATCAATTTTACCCAAGTGTGCTGGAAAGGGACTGCGCGTGCAACCAACAGCAATCCGACCAACAGATATGCAGTAGCCATCGACGGGTTCTGGGAATGAGGCCTATCAGCTTTGAACGCCAAATTCGCTATTACAGAAGGATCGAATTGTTGCGCCATCCTCTCATCGAGTCAACTCTGCCGAAAATACCGCCCAACACCAGCGCGCAAAAAACAGGAGCACAGAGACCACCAAGATAAATGACGAATGGGAAACAGAAAGCCGCCGGATATTTTTGCAAGACACAACACATCTGTCGCCCACCAGTTCTCTACTTTAAGGACCCCCGGTCATAGTCGTCCAAATCCTCGGCTCAAACCCCGATAAATCCTCCTCCACCAAGTTCATGATATGCCGATGGCCAGAAAACCAGTTTCCAAGCTGCGCTGTTTGCGTCGCATCGATAAGGCCAGCGGGCACATCTGCATTGAAGACACTGGGTGTGACGACAGTAGCAGCGCCTGGTGCCGCCATGCCGCCATGTTGGTGTTGTCGCTGCTGATGGGCAGCGTTCGAACAGGAGGTTGCATGCGGTTGCTGTTGCTGCTGATCATGGAGGAGTTGCTGAGGCATGAACCCGAGCTGACTGAGGTACATGTCAAAATCATGACCGACCAGCATCATGTCTTGGTCCTGCTGTTGCTGTGCCTTGGTCTCGACGTAGAGGCGTGCGACGTGGCAGAGGACCTGACAGACGCGATTGAACTTGTCGATAGCCTCGGATATGCTGCAGACGGTGGAGAGGGAGGCCACAAAGTGATCCATGCGGTCGAGATCCTGCATGTTGGATGTCTCAATGACATGGCAGAAAAGGACGATGAAGGGAATGAACGGGGCGTAAAGAATCGTCCTGTTGGTTGTTGGTGTTTTGTTAGAGCTGGGACCTCACAATACGTATATTACTTGGGCTTGTTAACCACTTACCAGTGAAGATACCCAACCTTTGTGAAATGGCTCAACCCAGGAATCTGCATGCATTCCAAATGGACCTCGACAGCTCGCCGCGCCGCTTCGATGCACTCCGGGTTGAAGGTGCTACCGAACCCAGGAGCGGCAGGAATGGCGCGGTATATCAGACACAGCGATGCCCAGTACGTGACCTCGTCCGACCGCAGCATCAGTGTCACCGTGAACCCATCCCTCTTTCCGGAATCAGCAAGTTTGCCCGTCTCGCGCGCATGGCGGATCAGCTCGTCGTTTTCCCTCGCTATCCCTTTGATGGCCTCGACCAGCTGGCGCGCGCTCTCGATACGCTGTTCGGGTGGTCGCGACAGCGCCGCGATGGAGTACAGCTGCTCGTATGCTTTGCCCATGACCTCGGCGTGCTCGATCCACAGGTTGAGCATCTCCTTCCAAAAGTCGGCGACGTTGATGGTCCGACCCATGCGTTTTGGGATGGCGATGTCGTAGTCTTGGATCATGGAGGAGCGGCCGAAGCGGAGGGAGAGGCCCTTGTCTAGCATATAGGCGAACCAGAAGAGCGCGGACTTGGTGTCGTTGGAGACGTCGTCGTTGGCGGAAGCGCCCGAGATGGTGGTGGGAAGGCGGTGGTAGCCAAGGGTTTGGCAGATCATGACTGCTGAGGAGTTGAGTTGCCAGGCGAGGGTGAAGCGAGAGGCTTCGACGGCGTAGGAAGCCTAAGCGGCAGAGCTGGGTTAGCGACCCTGTGTTATGTCACGGACAAGAGAGGGATTTTTGGAGTGACAGTGAAAGAAAACTTACAGCGAGCAACAATGCTTCGATACTCTCCTTTCTTGCCGGCATGAACAGAGGTAATGCCATCAGGGCCGTCTCGAGATTGTCTCGGCACAGGTTACGGTATTCGAGCAGCTTTTCGGCCTGATGAGCCTCGTCCGCCCTAGTGGCCTTCTCTTGGAAGAGGTAGAACAGACCGGCATTGACGACGATGAAGGTCGCCAAGCTGTAATCCTCGGTAGCGAAGTATACCCTGCGACAGCAGTCGACAAAGTCATCTACCGCGATGAATGTGCACATCAATGTGAATGTTTCTGGCAGCTCATCTGTAGAGAAATTTTTTTCTTCGAGTTAGCTACACCTTTCCTCACCAAGCAAAGCAGGTTCAATGTTTCCGTACTCTTAATGTCCCGAAGAATGCCCACCACCACCGGGCTCGGAGGCATAGGCAGCTCACGCATGCCGCCCCTAGGCATCGGCTTCGCGTTAGGAAACCTCGAGTCCTGGTTAGTCCGCTTACGGTTCTGCATGCACACAATCTGCCGGAGGGACGACAGGGCCGACTCCATGCTTGGGCTGAGCGACGTCTGCGTCACGGCGTTTTCGAGGAACTCGCTGGCGAAGACAGTCTGGGCCGTCATGGAAGAGTTGCCCTCGAAGGCCGAGTCCATCTCGTCGTCGTTGTCACCATCGCCGTCAAGGGGTATCTCGCCCCGGTCGGGATCGCCGACTATGTCGCTAATGATAGCCACCGGGGGTTCGCTGGAGGGAGAAGCATTGTTGTTGTTGTTGTTGTTGGCGCCGGCACCAGCGAGAGAGGATTCAGACGATGGGCTGCGGGATTGCGAGATGACCACTAGCTCACGAAGCATCTTTTCGATGCCGGTGAGCCGGGTTCCGAAGTGGTCAATCTTGCGCTCATATTGCGCGGAGATGAGAACTCGCTGTCGTTGTTCCTTGGGCTTCTGGCCTACTCCGGACGAGCTGCATGACCGGTTTGCTGTCCTACAATTTGAGCACGGTGACTCTTTGTCACAACGGATCTATGTAGTCAAGGGAAGGAAGGGCTTTGTTAGAAATCCCAGGACTAATTGTACCATTGGTGAGAGTATTGTGGCCTTGGACCTACCTACCTTACGGAGCCGGCATTGATCGCACTGTTGTTAGATCGGCGTAAGTCAGTAAAGACGCAGCTGCATTCGTGCATTCGATGTAGCATTGCTGGGTAGGAGATTCCAAAAGGGGTGATATGAAAAAGGGAATAAGATATGCGGAAGTAAGGTGCCTCGAGTTGGAAAGCCCAAAGCGTATGCGGGTGCAGGTCGGGTGCAGGTCGGGTGCGGGTCGGGTGCGGGTCGGGCACCGCGGGCACCACACCGGGATCCGTGAGGCCGGACTCGGGCCGGAGCGGGCCCCGTCATTCAGACATCTAGGTCTTCGGCATGCCGGACGGGAAACGTGGGACTTTGCGGAATCCGAAACGGAAATGACTTACTGCTCTTTTCAACCCTGCCCCTGGGCTGAGCCCAGCTGTGTTTCCCTCGGCCGCCTCCCTCTCGCCACTAGCCTCTCGTTCTGTGTCCATGTGTGTTGTATGGTTCCTTGAAGGTTGTGCTGATGCAAAGGACCGGGACGGTTGTAGTGGTGGTCCGTTACTGTACGGGTAGTGCAAACCGGAGTTTAGGTGGCCTGGGCTTGCGTCGCCAAGGAATCAATGTTCATATTAAACGCAGGCCAAAGATAGTTGACACAAACCCTATCGCCTCAACCTCAAGCGAAGGACGGGTGCGTGACAAAAGAACGACGAAAGAGACCTGGCGCAATGTTGAACAAAAGAGGACGATATTAGCACTGACAACAACTAAGGCACCCGAGGCAGTGCAGACAGATGCCCTGCTACCTACTGTAGACTGCTGTGGCTCTGAGGGTATACACTAGAATACCTACAGTTGAGGTTATGTGGAGCCTCGTATTGTGCTGAAATGACAGGACTGCTGAGGCTGTGAGAATGCAATGGGAAGCTGCTGTGACTTGCTGAGTCTTCCATTCGTCTCGACTTGCGACTATTCACCTAATGCTTGGCATCGCGGCCCGCGGATCCCGTCTCTGTCCGGGGACGTTGCCCCACTTTACTCGAACTACTACACTTCCATCAATCGATTCGAGACTGCTTGCAACCTACTTGGACCTTCAACAACTCAACAACCTCCCCTCATCCGCCACGGTGCCGTGCTTTGATTCGTTGTCACTCGTCTTGGTTGTGCTGATTTCTTGGGTGACTGTTTATGGACTACACGCGGATGTGGAGTTTGATCGGTCATCGCCGCCGTATTCACTATGATTCACCACGGCATGTTACCATGAGGTGTGCAAGGGGCCTTTCGGACACCATGATATGGCTCGCTTCCATTGTGCGGAACGCTCTTTTCCTGGGCCTGGATGGACATTTTAATTGGCGGAAACGACCCTGCGCCTTGGCTATCTCGGCTTGATCCTTCTACTTTTCTCTCTCCCCTGTAAATCGCTTGTATTGGCGATCAACACCATGATGCTGCAAAAATCGACCACCAACATGTGCCAAGGGACGGCAGGTTAACACCAACTTGCCATCGATGAATGGATGCTTCTCGCCTGACTATATATCTACCGGTCAGAGTCGTGTTCAGGTGTGACATAGCAAACAGACGCGTGTGGGTTTGGAGACGGAGAGCAATACGTCATCGCAGACGAACAAGATGGCCGTGGTCCAAGAATCACCTTCAAGCACCTCAGTGACCGGCAATGGCAGAAAAGCAGGCAATGCCATCGTACCGGTTCCCAAATGCGGCGCGGCTCAAAAGGAAGACGAGACCCCTCATGTATCAGACAGATGCGAAGATGGGAGCCTCAAGAGTTACTTTGTGAGTGATGCGTCCAGACAATCCAAGACATGTGTTGACACCTTTCAACTTTCCAGAGAATCTTCAGGTACACAGACCACATCGGTTGGTGGACACATGCAGCAGCCCTGACTTGCATGATAGCGTCTGGTGTTCTTCTTCCCTTGATGGACCTTGTCTTTGGCAAATTTGTAACTGTCTTCAACAATTTCATAACCGGCAAAGCGACCCCGGCAGAGTTTCGTTCCAGCCTCAACGACTATACGTACGTTTCTTTCCGTTGCGGTTTGACCCCTGCAACAGGGTGCTGAGATAATCTTTGGACTTCCAGACTATACTTTGTCTATCTCTTCATCGCCAAGCTTGTCCTCGTATACATTTGGACTGTAAGAATTCCTCCCATGTGGGATTTCATCTTGATCAGCCACTTACATACATCCCAAGACCCTTGCCTCCACCAACGCCATCAGGATCACACGGTCTCTTCGGATCGACTTCCTCAAACAAACAATACGCCAGGAAGTTGCCTTCTTCGACCTGCCCGAGGCCGGATCCATCTCCAGCCATCTTACTACCAACGCCAACCTCGTCAATCAGGGAATATCGGAGAAGCTGGGCCTCGCCATCCAAGCTATTGCAACCTTCTTCGCTGCCTTTGTTGTCGCCTTTGCGGTACAATGGAAGTTGACCCTCATCACCATCTGCATCGTGCCCGTCATCGTCATCGTAACCGGCATCTGCATGGGCATCGACGCGAAACAGGAAAACGAGATTATGATCATTAACTCCGGAGCAGCAAAGCTAGCCGAGGAGGTGTTTGCGAGTGTCAAAACTGCTCATGCCTTTTGGGCTTTCCCCAAGCTGTCCGGCAAATATGCAGCTATCCTTGACGAGGCCAAAGCGGTCGGTGCCCGGAAGAGTCCAAACTACGCCGTCTTGTTCTCCGTGGAATTCTTTTGCGTGTACGCTGGATATGGCCTCGCTTTCTGGCAGGGTATCAGGATGTATAAGGAGGGAGAGGTGTCTGAGCCGGGACAAATTGTCACTGTCATCTTTGCTGTGCTGCTGGCAGCCCAGGCACTCACTCAAATCGCTCCTCAATCGGTCGTCATTTCGAAGGCTGCCGCTGCCGCACATCAGATGTTTCAGGTCATCGACCGCGAGTCAAAGATCGACTCTTTGTCGGAGGAAGGCATCAAACCAGCTGAATGTCGAGGTGATATCGAACTCCAGGATGTCGTGTTTGCTTACCCTTCGAGACCGAACATCAAAGTGTTGCAAAACTTCAGCCTTACGATTCCAGCAAACAAAACGACGGCAATCGTTGGATATAGCGGATCAGGCAAAAGTTCCATATTAGGCCTACTGGAGCGCTGGGGTTGTCCCGAAAGCGGTACTATCACACTGGATGGTCGAAAAATAGAAGAGTACAATCTTCAGTGGCTTCGAACCAAGGTCCGACTTGTTCAGCAGGTAAGCATGCAGACTTGTTTCTTCACAAGCCCTTTCCCAGCTGACACCATCAATAGGAACCGGTCATGCTCGAAGGCACCGTCTTTCAGAATGTTGTGAATGGGTTAGCCGGAACATCCATGGCTGATCTGAGCGACGAAGAGAAGCAGCGGCTCGTTGAAGATGCGTGCCGCGCGGCGTATGCTCACGAATTCATAGAGAAACTACCAGAGGTATGTGACATCACCCTGCCTCGCCGATCGTACCTAACTCTGTCAGGGCTATCAAACGCAAATCGGCCAGAGAGGCTCCATGTTGTCAGGGGGCCAAAAGCAAAGGCTCGCCATCGCCAGGAGCGTCATTGCGAACCCACAAATCCTCTTACTCGATGAAGCTACAAGTGCCCTCGACCCTAATGCTGAGCAGATTGTTCAGAAGGCACTCAACAACGTTGCTGTCGGGAGAACCATGATCGTCATTGCCCATAGACTCTCCACCATTCGAAATGCGGACAACATTATTGTCATGTCCAACGGTCGTCTTATCGAGCAGGGTACCCATGATCAACTCGTTGCCCTGGGGGGCACCTATTCACACCTTGTTCGAATACAACGTCTCGGACAAGAACCTGACAATGATGACGAACCTCAAAAGGACAACAGAGCTGAAATTGGAGGAGCTGCGATAGCTAACACCACGTTGAACGTAGTTGAGGCTGTTCCTGATGCGAGTGCCATGGAAGAAGGCGCTGCAAAGAAAGACGACATCAACCTCTTGAGATGCTTGTTCATCCTCATGCGAGAACAAAGAGTACTTTGGCCTGCCTTTTGCTGGGTGGGTATTTGCTGTCTCGCGGGAGGTAAGATCCGTGGCATCCACCCTCTCATCGAAATTACGAATACTGACAGCCAAAATCCAGGGGCTACATATCCCGCTCTTGCCATCATCTTCTCCCGGATAATGGACGCTTTCGCCCTTGAGGGTGACAAAATGGTCGAACGAGGCAACTTCTTTTCTCTCATGTTCTTTATCGTAGCCCTTGGCAACTTGGTTGCCTACGCGGTGCTCGGTTGGTTCTGCAACGTTATCGCCCAGGTTTGTCCCCATTGTCCTACCGTCGTCGTATTGATGAGGACTGACGTTTATCTCCAGCAAATGGTCCGCTTCTATCGGTACACAATCTTCGACTGCGTCGTCCGGCAGGACATGACCTTCTTCGACATGCCAGGTAACTCTCCAGGCGCTTTGGTGTCTCATTTATCCAAGGAACCGGAAAGTCTGCATGAGCTTCTCTCCATGAACATGGGCGTCATCGCAATCGTGGTGGTCAACTTGCTCTCGAGCTGCATTCTTGCCGTTGTGATTGGGTGGAAACTTGGGCTCACCCTCGTCTTTGGCGCTTTACCACCCCTTGTTTTTTCAGGATACCTGAGAATTCGCTTGGAGATCAAGCTGGATGATGATACTTCGGACAGGTTTGCGGATAGCACTGGCATTGCTTCTGAGGCTATCATGGCCATTCGAACTATCTCGTCACTGGCTATGGAACGGCAGATTCTTGACAGATATGAGAATAATCTGCGCTCTATTGCGGCAACGTCGGTCAAGAGTCTCACCTGGACGATGGTTTGGTACGCTCTGAGCCAATCGATCTCCTTCCTGTCGATGGCATTGGGTTTTTGGTAAATATTTCCATTTTTTACATGCCATAATAGGTTCAAGCCAGCTCACATCGTGGTTAGGTATGGCGGCCGATTGGTTTCATTTGGAGAGTACACCGTCACTCAATTCTACACAGTGTTCATCGCCGTCATTTTTTCCGGCGAAGCAGCGGCCACATTTTTTACGTACACAACAAGTGAGTCTCACCAATTGATGTCCGCATTTTGAACCCGTCTAACTTTGGAATAGGCATCACCAAGGCGCAGCACGCCGCCAACTTCATCTTCCGGCTCAGGGACTCGGTTCGTCCCGAAAACAAGGACGACCACCCACCAGATGCCGAAAAACGTAGCAACGGCGCCGTTTCCATGGACTGCCAAGCTCTAGAATTCTCATATCCTCTCCGTCCCAGCGCTCGAGTCCTCAAAGGAGTCTCCATCAGCGTATGTACAACCCCAAGCCTCATGATCTGGCCGAATTCTGTTTGTGTACTAACATCAGTGGCAACACATCAGATCCCACCGGGCCAGTTCGTCGCCTTGGTAGGGGCGTCCGGCTCGGGCAAAAGCAGCTTAATCTCTGTCTTTGAGCGATTCTATGATCCTTCCAGCGGCACCGTTTTTTTCGACGGCGAAGACTACCAAAAAATCCACCTCGGCCGCTACCGCGCCAACATTGCGCTAGTCCAGCAAGAGCCCGTTCTTTACCAGGGATCAATAAGAGAAAACATTTCGATGGGCGTTCTTGACGCGACTGTGTCGGACGAGCAAATCCTCGAGGCCTGTCGCCAGGCCAACATCGACTCCTTCATTGCCTCGTTGCCCGAAGGCCTAGCTACCCCCTGCGGATCCCAGGGCCTGCAGTTCTCTGGCGGGCAGAGGCAAAGGATCGCTATTGTGCGCGCGCTGGTTAGGAAGCCGAGATTGCTGTTGCTGGACGAAGCGACCAGTGCGTTGGATACGGAGTCGGAGCGGGTGGTGCAGGCTGCTTTGGATGCCGCTGCAAAGGGCGAAGGTGGAGCAGATGGAGATGGAAAAGAGGGAAATGCAAAGGGGAGAAAGCGGACAACGGTGGCTGTGGCTCATCGGCTGTCAACTATAAAGGGCGCGGATAAGATCTTTGTGTTTTCGTATGGAAGGATTGCGGAGGCGGGGACGCATGAGGAGTTGTTGGAGATGAGGGGGATGTATTATGAGATGTGTTTGGGACAGTCTTTGGATAGATGAAGATGCCGTATGTTGTCATGCATGTTATACATGTCTCTACATATATAGCGAGCGACTTATAATAGAGTTTAGTTTCGGGTTCCGTCAGGATTCTTTTTCTTCGCCCGTCATCGGCCCACAATTTCCGGGCATCTTGTATGTTTCGGGTCATCTCCGTCCGTGGACCGAAACAATGACAGACTTTGCGTAGTGTTTCCGCATTTGTGTAACCTTTACTTTCCCCCTTGATGCTACTGTCGCGTCCGATAATTCTTCCGAACGGATCGATTGCAATATGCCACCATTTAAGAACCAGTGTGTGTTTCATCCTCCCTGTTTAACCGATTCCCCACACTCCAGGGGGGACGATGCCTTATTCGAGCGCGTGGCACATACCTGGCTTCTTTTTAACCGACCAGAAACGACATTGGAAGGGTTTTCTTGGGAGGACGCCGTCGTTTCACATGTCAAAGAGTCGCATTTTCCTGAGGTGCGGTACCATTGTCGATTGGCGCCTGGATCTCGCAGCATAACTCAGCTTCAAATTGTATAAATGACCATATGATTGCCCTCCAGCCATCGAGATGCTTTCCCCGCTTGACACGCATACCGTGACCAGCGTTTTGTGTGTGCTCAACCCTCAACCCTTCCATCCACCATGCGATTTTCGTCCACGGTATTGATCGCCGGCCTCGCTGCTGCGAGTGTTGATGCGCGGAGCGTGATTCCCGTCGACAAGCGGGCAACGCCTACTCTTTACCTTGCCGGTGACAGCACTACGGCCAAGACCGGGGGTCTTCTCATGGGTAAGTTAGCCACCTAATCCAATTTTTTTTCCTGCTTTTCCTATTTTCAAAAGACCCAGGGTCCTAACAACCTCTTCTCCCCTGACACAGGATGGGGTGAATACCTTCCCCCCCTCCTTAACGGCATCACCGTTGTCAACAAAGCCGTCCCCGGCCGTTCCGCCCGCTCCTACACCAACGAAGGCCGCTTCACCGAGCTTGCCAACCTGGTTACCGCTGGCGACATCGTCGTCATCGAGTTCGGCCACAACGACGGCGGCTCTCCTAGGTCGGCTTCCGACAACGGCCGCTCCGACTGTCCCGGCACCGGCTCCGAAGTTTGTGTCTCAGGTAAAACGGGCGAAAAGGTTTACACGTTCAATCACTACGTCGAAACCGCCGCTAAGGCGATCATTGCCAAGGGCGCCTCTGTCATCTTCAGCTCCCAGACACCTAACAACCTGTGGGAGGGAGGCAGTTATGGCGGGTATGGAACCCCCGTGAGGTTCGTGGGGTATGCAAGCCTCGCGGCGAAGAATCTTGCAGGGACGGGGAAAGCCAGCTTCGTGGATCACTATCAGGCTGTGGCGAATATGTATTTGAAGCTGGGGAACGCGAAGACGAACAGCCTGTATCCCAGCGATCATACGCATACCAGCCCGGAGGGAGCGGATCTCGTGGCCAAGGCGTTTGCGCAGGCGGTCAAGTTGGCTTGGAATGGGACGACGCCGTTGAAGGGATATTTGAAGGCGGGGAATCCTAATGTTTTCTAAAGAAGGAGAGGTGAGCTCTAGAAAGCCTGGTTGATCGAAGTCATCTTTAAGTTTTTTAATCTATTTCCCTGCCGTTACACCAACGAAGCGGACCGTTCCGATGAAAAGATGATGTGCATTTCACCGTCGCTATCGACCATCATGGCAGAGATTGTGGACGCCAGTTGGGCGGGTGTGAAAATAGCCTTGTCAACACCCTTGGCAACGCCAGCGGCCACCGGGCGAAGATTATGTTGAATTTGACCACCGTGAAAGGGCATAGAGACCATTGGAACACCATGGAACAGGGCCTCGTTGGCTGACGATGGCCCGGCATGGGTCACAAACAGGGTGGTGGACGGATGATCCAAGACTGCCCTCTGGGGGGCGTACTGCAGGATGAGCCAAGATGGGTGTTGGTTCGCTAAAAGATGACGGACGGTATATTGATCCTTTGATCCCTGGAGCAAGGCTGATTCAGAGCCCAGATGATGCCGTCAATCGAACCCTGCTCAAGAGCACAGCAAAGCCCTCGCATCAGCCTGTCCACTTTCTCGGGCGTGAGAATGACATGGGTGCCAAAGGCGACATAGACGACAGAGGTTTTGGTGTTTAGGAAGTTGTGAGTGGTGTCATTGAGTGGCGTGTAGCCGTCTGACAGAAGAGGACCAACGGGTTGCAGGAGTGGCGGTACATCCTTTGCGGGTTCGAGGCCCCAGAACGAGTTGACAAGCACGAGACTGTCCTGTTTGGGCTTGAGGGAGGGCATAGAGTGGACGCCAGCCTGCTTGCGCATGGATCGGGTCCAGAGAAACAGATGGAGAAGCTGGGCGCATATCGGACGAGATATGTCTGGTCGTCGTAGAACTTTTTGCACTCAATCGTCTCATTGCGACCGCGCTGCGTCTTGCTGTCCCATCTGCTGAACTTGCCGTAAAGCTGCCGATCCTCGCTGGGTGTGACGGCACGGCTGACCAGGTGGGCGGTTGAGGCAAAAGGGTATGCCGCAACAAGGTCGGCACGCCCCTCGAGAGTCGCGAACTCGATGACATGGCCTCGGGCGGCAAGAGTACGGCAGACTTCCAGAATTGGAGCTGTTATTCGCCGTGGTTAGCTATCATATTGAGCAGGCAGCATGGAATGAATGGAGGGAAGAGGTTTCCACGGCTGGAAGTTGTTTGGATGTTTGGGCCGAGATGCAAGCTAAGGACTGGGCGACGAAGCCGACTCGCCGATAACAAAGAAACAAAAGGCTGACAGGGGCATCTTTAGTGGCGCTGATCGACCATGCCGTAGCACCGAATAGGTGCCATCTTTTCTTTTTTTGTGACCCAACTTCCCCAGGGCAGGAGCAGTGGAAGAACAGGAGAAGAATGACGGGAATAGGTGGAAGAAGCAACGTCGGAAACATGGAAGCATGTAGACACCCCACACCTAGGAAACCATGCACCACGGGCCCTGGAGCACTGAAGGGCTGAGCTAGGATCGGGCCGGTCAGTGGAGGTTCCAGGGCCACGCGCTAAACCTACCCGAATTAGTGGATCCGCCAATCGTGACCACCACCAGAATCCTGCGAGGGGGGGTGCGGATCAAAGTGCGACGGAGCCATGGATGCTGTGCCGGTCAATGATGAGGTGTTTGGGCGAGAAGTGATGATCCAGGGCTATTCTTCCATAGTCGAATAGAAACTGGAGAACAGGAAGGGAAAAGAGGTGCCTGACCATATGGTCACCATCTGGGTTTATTATAGCCATTGACTTCACCCAGGGTCCAGTAACCTACCTCAAAGCTCTACCTACCTACTCGTAGGCACGTACACGTTCAAGTACCCACACTACCTACCTAGGTAAGTTACACTCTTTATCAAGTAAGTATACTTAGTAGGTAGCTCACATGTGTATTTATATTCCACTCGCTCACATATTGCTAAGCTCATATGTAATAGTCGTAATTTAAGAATTTATACCCCCCTAGAGGTACTACGTCGTGGCCGCCCTTCCGGTACCTAGGTATGTACGGGTATCATGGAAAGGTACGTACCGGGCTGTCCATCCCTTAGTTGCAAGAAGGCTGTTTATTCGCTACCTTCTCCTTAGTTGTTTCGTTGTGTGTCTGGACCCAAGCCACTTACAGTAAGCACTACTGGTCTTGGGGCGCTGTTTGCCTAGACGGGAGGTAGAGGTATTTCCTGCTGATGCTCCTGACTGGAATGAGTTCCTTCCGTCGTTTTGATATCAGACGCCGGCGTTTTCATTCAACGGTTCAACCTCACAGCTCATACACAATACATGCACTCACTCGGCCCGTTCACTAACAATTTCTCACGATGCTCTCCAAAGGCGATCCGTCAACCCCGCTGGATTCGAACGCAGCGCTGCAGAACTCAGCACCAACAGTAACGTCGTCACCTTCTTTACATGAACACAACCCCGACGGTGCCAGCCCTGAGTGCGAGCAACCGAGCGAGGGCCCCTTCATGTCCGGGTGGAGAAAACACATCTTGACTCTTGGCATGTGGATAGCTCTCTTCCTGTCGACACTCGAGACTACCATCGTGAGCACCTCGCTCGTGTCCATCACCAACACGCTCAACGGCTTCAACCTACGCGATTGGGTTGTCACCGCCTACCTCATCACGTATACGGGCTTTCTGATTATATATGCCAAACTTGGCGATGTCTTCGGGCGAAAGACCATGTACCTCCTTGGTCTCGGCATCTTTATCATTTTCTCATGTCTTTGTGGTGCCTCCACCAATATCGTCGAACTGCAAGTTATCACCGTCCGGGCCCCCTTTCCAAGCTAGAGGTGGTGACTTACTTGCTGACCGCCGCCACCACTACAATATAGCATTATCTTCAGGGCCTTCCAAGGGATGGGTGCTTCCGGTATCTATTGCATGACCATCGTGATAGCGCCTACTCTGGTTCCCAAGGCCGAGTTTGGCAGGTACATCGCCATCGTCTCAACCGTTTTTGCACTTGCAAGCATCCTCGGACCCCTCTTGGGTGGTGTAGTGAGCGCAAACGGCAGCTGGCGCTGGGTGTTCTTTCTCAAGTATGAGCTTCTCATCTCCTTCGCTTTCGAGACAACAATGTGTCTTTGCGTGTGCCCGGCGCTAACCAACGGAAAATTATTTCACGAGTATTCAGTGGCCCAGCCGGAGGTCTAGCATTTTTTCTTCTGGCATGGCTCCTCCCAGGTTCTAATAAAAACAACAAAAACCCACAGCAACCTCTTCTTGCCTTGCTGCGCAGCAAGGTTACTTCCTCTAACCTGAGCAGGGTCGACTTCGCCGGCGCAGTCCTCCTTCTCGCGTCGTCTATGCTCATAGTGTTTTCGCTCGAGAGTGGCGGAACAAGGTATCCCTGGAGCAGCCCAACCGTCATATCGACACTTGTTCTTGCCTTCGTAACAGGCGCCCTCTTTTTTATCTGGGAACGATCGAAATGGGTCAAGGAGCCGGTCTTCTCGCCCCGTTTGCTCAAAGGTCGGTTGATGCCGGCCATGCTCGCGTATGTTGTGCCACTTTCTGCTTTTACTCATTGGCACCTCCTTCTCTATACTGACTGACTGATCACTCACTTACTCTCTCTTGCCTTTTGGGAAACAGTTCCTCTTTCTTCATCGGCTTCCCCTTCACAGCTATCGTCGTCAACATCCCCCAAAGTCTGCAAGCCGTTTACGGATATTCTCCCCAAAAAGCCGGAATTGCTCTTCTGCCACTGCTTCTCTTGTCGCCCGTAGCGACCGCCGTGTCTGGGTACCTGACATCTAGCAGGAACATTCCGCCGGTCTATGTCATTCTCGTGGGGTCGGTTTTCCAGCTCATTGGCGTAGGCCTGACCTGCTTGCTTCCGATCCTGCCCATTAAGGGCGCAGACGACGCTCATGTTCCAGCGAGCCAGTACGGCTTTGAAGCGATCATGGGCATTGGCTTTGGCTCGACTCTGAGTACGATCTTGACATTGGCGCCTTTGGTGGTGGATTCTACGGATCTTCGTAAGCTCTCCCTTGTCTCCCCCATTTGCATTCGTACACCAGGGTGGCTCTCTGCCCGTTGATTAATCCTGGCGGTAACTGACCTCAAACGTGTAATCACACACAGCCGTAATGATGGGTGCTCTCACCCAAGTCCGTGTCCTCGGAGGAACAATTTCCCTCGCGGTTTGGTACGTTTCCATTCCAGTTCCACACTACTTATACTATTCTTCACACTTCGTTACATTCCACCACGACATGTATACCTAGGCGTCCTAACTGAAACACAATTCTTTAACTGCACAGCTCAACCCTACTCAACAACCACGTCGAAAGCAGGCTCCCGAGCCTTCTGGATCCTTCACGTGTCACGGAGATATCCGAATCTCTTTCTGCGATCCAAAACCTCCCATCAGAAGAGCAGATTGCTGTCAGGAGAATCTATGCAGAAGGATATAACAAGCAAAACATATTGCTGACTGCTTTCTCTGGCATTGCGTTTATCTCTTGCTTGTTGCTGTGGGAGAGACCTCCTAGAAGACCAACGTCTACACCTGCGGAAGTAGCTTCCAAGTCCTAGTTAGCCAAGTTTGAATGGACGATGAAGGCGGCGAGGCGGCGAGATAACAACAGTCAGATTCGTGACGGTGACGAGGATGTTGTTGTAAAGTGCAGCGTGTCAAGCATAACTTATTGCTGAACATTGGGCATACTCAAATACAACCAAACGCTATGTTATGTTACACAAATTGTCTTCTATTTACCAATCCAAAATCCAGGCAAGCCTCATGTCGTCTTTGGAAATCTCTGTAACCGCATCCAAGATCGGGACAAGCAGCAGCCGCAGTCTTTGCTTCAAATAACCTCCACCTTGACATAACACTGCTGCGGGCTGCGCAACACCCTTTGCCGACCTTCCATCCCACTCAACGATTCTGGGAACGACAAGAACTTAAAGCTGAGCGTAAGAAGCACGATCATCATTCTCAGTTCCTGCATCGCAAGTCGACGGCATGTGAGTGTGGTAAAATGTTTCTGTTAGAAAGTCTGGACATGCGCAAGTGAGGACAGGAAAGACAGGAACCACATAACTCACCGAAACACCCTCTCGACCCCGCCGAGAAAGCCAAAACCGGCAGTTCGACTGAATCAAGGACTTCTTCTTCTTCCTCTTCTTCTTCTTCTTTCTCCTTCTTTTCCTCCAATTCCCTATATGTAACTTGGCCCTCACCTCTTTTCACCTTCTTCCTCACCAGCCAGTGCTCCGGCTCGAAACGGTTCAACTCCCGCATTGCTCTTCTAGCCCCCTCTTCTTTCCCTTCTTTGGTCAGCCGGGCCGAGGTTACGAGGTCGGGGATGTCTCCGAGGATACGGTGGGAAGCAGTTTGGTTGTAGGGGATGCCAGGGAGCGGTTGGGGACATACTTTCCAGTGGGCAAGAACGTAGAAGCACATAGGTAATATGAGAGCCAGGGAGAGTAGAATGGAATTGAAAAAATGAGAGCCATGGTGATGTTTGTCAGATAGTCAAACCTTTGTCGAGTTCAAGGTGTGCCGCTCATTAAGCCTCTGACACTAAGGCAAGAGGGGCGGCGGGGCCATTGTGATTTATATGGCCCGACGACACTATGCGAATGATTACTCCCCAAACCGATTGAAACAAAGTCTGGCAAGCGTGTACTATAAGAAGTCCACACGGACATTGAAGCCGAGGCATCGGCTTGATGTCAGAAAAATAGACAGAGCCGGGTTACTGTGTGTCAAAGGGGGGGTAAAATTTTGTGCGCTTGTTACAGTATGCAACCAACCACATCCGACTCGATCAGTCCTGGAATTTGTAGCTGTGCTTACCTTACGTAGCATTTTAGTAAATCTATGATTGTTCTTTTTGACATGATCGGTCGCACATGAGGACCGCATGCAGTATATGTATAGATCCCTGAGTTCGAAATTACATTCCACTATTCTTAAAGGAGAATTGATTGCAGTGTTTTTCCCATACATAATTTGTTCTACTGAAGCATTGTTTCAACAACTTACAATGGGCCGCTGGTCTAGTGGTATGATTCTCGCTTAGGGTTCAATCCTGAGCATTCTTGCGAGAGGTCCCGGGTTCAATCCCCGGGTGACCCCATTTCTTTTGCAATTTTTTTGTCTTCTTTGCATATTTCACTCATAATTCCTCTTCTTATCGTCTTCCTTACTTTTCTTTTTATTGCTCCCTAAATCTTACATTTAGTTAGTATCCCTAGTAATATAAAAGCTGCGGGTATGTTACGCGAAGACGTGCTTCACAAGTGATGACAATAGAGAATAATAGAGTGAGCAATTGGTTGCTGGATAGAGTAATAGTGCGTAACGATTAACAATAGTCTTATCAAAGGAAGTTGAAGACAAGAGCTGTCGCGAGCCTCAACCTAGGACCTCGCATACGACTTTACTGAGTGTAAGTAAGATAGACGTAAGGTTGGTATAATATTAATTAATGATCCGTCAACCTTCATAGAGGTTGATAGGACGAGCACTCTTATATAATAGACTATACGCTCTAGTGAGCGGCTGCCATGACAAGACAGAGCATCTAGGTATCCACCAAGAATGCCCCATAACAGGGTATTCCAATGACAAATCTCGGCCTCCCACGACGTTCCGTTATTACCGAAAGATCTAGATTACAAAATATACCTGCAGCAAGAACACACACATATCAATCATAACAACATCGACTTGGACCCTGCATAGATTGAAGTTAGTGTTCTTGTTTCCTTTACATGCTAGTTACCCCACTACAACCAGCTGGCTATGTTATCCAGCCACTTTTATGCCCTCTTTGCTATGGAGCAGAGATGTTCCAGTCTCGCTACTGAAATATTCCCTAGCCTGCCTACGAGATACTGGACTGTTGGAGTTGTCTTTTGGGCCTGTTCATGCCAAACTGCAGTCGAAGTGACTCATTGGCCTAGATTTATCCAAAGAGGAGGTCCTCGGGTAGTACGGGAGAATTGATGTGGAATGATAATGTAGTTCGATTAGTAGCCACTGGTAGGTGCTGCTTCATTGTACTCCTGCCTCGTCGTTGGTTTTGGCGTCAACCATGCAGCTCCAAAAAGGGGCAGCTGCGATGATTGTAAACAAAAAGCGCACGGCCCAAGCGAGAGTAGCCCCAGATAAGGTTGGGAGATAAGGAGGGCGGGGCAGAAGGTCCGCTCCTAATGAGTAAATCTCATACCGGGCGTCCGCCACAGTGAGTGTTACAGCATCCGAAGGAGTGTCGTGCACCAGTTTGTTCGGTGAAAGACTCCGGTTGCTAGCGGCATCCATCCACCCACGGCGAAGTAGCCTCCGCCGCCTCCATGGCAACCCCCACCTACCCCGTCCCGCCTTTGGGTCAGTTTCCGGCTTCCCGCAACTCGATTCGCTTGCTGCCTGTGCCCCAAGTTCCAACTGTGCTCTCTGGACGCTTCTCCCGTCCTTCTTTTCACGATTCCGTTACGTTACGGTAGTATTCGAGCGTGGTCTACATCAGCCCAACCGTCATTGTTACTACTCCTACCTTCTGTCCCAACTACTTAGCATCTACGGTTTCACTTTCCGGACGCACCTCTTCCCCAGCAAGTGGAAACGTTCGTTCCGGACTCATCCTGCCCTCCAGCTGCTATCCATTTTCAGTGTCGCCTTCGAAGCAATTCCAGAAAGCGACTCTGGTGCCAGCCAATTGCCCAAGATGATGTCCGCACAGCTCCAACAGCAGCAGCAAAAGCAACAACAAGATCAGCAGCAGAAACAGCAGAAACAACAGAATCAACCGCAACACCAACTTTCCCAACAACAGCTTCATCAAAGCCTACCGTCTCGGACCGGTAGTGGTTCCGTATCTGCCAATGCTTCGATAGCACCGGGCGCAGCAGGGTCGCAAATTCCCGGGGCTCCTGCCACCTCCAACACACAGCAGCCGGCCTCTTTTGGACAGCTTCGGAATCGTGCTGCCGAGAGTCAAAGTCCCTATGTGCGCGTACATGCCAAAACACCTGTTGCCTGGCAGCTGCTTAATGCCGATACCCTGAAGCGCGCCCAGGCTGAAAACAAGCCCATCTTTATGCATATTGGCTTCTTAGCCGACCATCGTATGTTTTTGTCTCTTGTTCCCGCTGGCCTTCCTTTGCCACCTCATCTGGCGGCTCTGACTGCGGCTTTTTGCTCACCATATCATCTACCCAGACTGTCGCCTTACAACTCAAGATTCTTTCTCCAACAATGCCGTTGCCGCCTTCCTGAACTCGTCCTTCATCCCCGTCATTATCGACCGCGATGAGCGTCCCGACCTCGACACCATCTACCAGAACTATAGCGAAGCTGTGAACGCGACCGGCGGTTGGCCTCTCAACCTTTTCCTCACCCCCGACCTCTATCCCATCTTTGGCGGTACCTACTGGCCCGGTCCCGGAACCGAGCACAGCCTTGCTGCTGCCCGTGGGGGTGCCAGCGGCGTCGTCGGCGGTGCAGCGACCCCCGAGGCTTCCAGTATCAACGGTGGTGGTGAAGAATCCTACAACGATTTCCTTGCCATAGCAAAGAAGGTCCACAAGTTCTGGGTGGAGCAGGAGGAGCGATGCCGTCGCGAGGCGTTTGAGATGCTTCATAAGCTGCAGGACTTCGCGCAGGAGGGCACATTTAGCGGCACACCCGCCGAACCAGTGCCCGTGGTAGCTCCCGTGGCCGCAGCTGACGTAGAGGCGGGCGCTGACCTGGACTTGGACCAGCTTGATGAAGCTTTGGACAGGATCTTCAAGATGTTTGACCCGGTGGACTGCGGCTTCGGAACACCAAAGTTCCCCAACCCGGCCCGGCTTTCGTTCTTGCTTCGGCTGGCGCAGTTTCCCAGAGAGGTGAGAGACGTAGTCGGCGACAAGGAAGTCGAGAATGCCGCTTCCATGGCACGGAGCACCTTGCGTCGTATTCGCGATGGTGGATTGAGGGACCATGTCGGCGCGGGCTTCATGCGATTCAGCGTAACTAGCGACTGGAGCATGCCGCATTTTGAGAAGATGGTCGGAGAAAACGCACTTCTTCTGGGCGTATACCTTGACGCCTGGCTCGGTCGCGTTCAATCATCTGCCGCCGAGACCCGGCTTTCTTTGGAGGACGAATTTGCCAACGTAGTGATCGATCTCGCCGATTACCTCACAAGCCCGCTGATTCAGTCCTCCGGGGGCGGCTTCATCACAAGTGAGGCAGCAGACTCTTTCTATCGCAAGGGCGACCGGCACATGCGTGAAGGCGCTTACTATCTCTGGACGCGCCGGGAGTTTGATGACGTGGTCGGACCCGCTGGGTCTGCCGAAGTGGCAGCAGCGTACTGGAACGTCCTCGAGGATGGGAACATCCCCCGCGACCAGGACCCTCATGACGAGTTCATTAATCAGAACGTACTGTGTTCCGTCTGGGGAAAAGATATCCAGGCGCTGTCCAAGCAGTTCGGCATCCCCGTGAATGATGTAAAGAAAATGATTGCAAAGGCACGGGAACGGCTGAGGGCACACAGAGAACAGGAGAGACCCAGGCCTGCGAGAGATGAGAAGGTGGTGGTTGGTGTTAACGGAATGGTGATTTCGGCGCTCGCGAGAACAGCTGCGGTGGTGAGAGATCTAGATAAGACAAAGAGCCAGAAATATTTGGAGGCGGCGCAGCGCGCCGCAACCTTTATCAAGGAGAACTTGTGGGTCCAGGATGGTACACAGAGCAGAAAGGTGCTGAAGAGGTTCTGGTTCAACCAGCCGAGCGACACAAGGGCGTTTGCGGATGATTATGCATTCTTGATTGAGGGCTTGCTTGACTTGTACGAGGCGACTCTGGAGGTTAAGTGGCTTGTTTGGGCGAAGGAGCTGCAAGGTACGCACCGAATGTTCCTCAACCTCTTCATTTCGCAACGGTGAGATACTGACATCTTCCTAGACGTGCAAAGTGAACTCTTCTACGACACACCGGCCGTCGGCAGCACTCCCTCCCTCCGCCATTCATACACAGGCGGCTTTTACTCAACCGAGGAAGCGACTCTCAGTCACACCATCCTTCGCCTTAAGAGCGGCATGGATAAGTCCCAGCCGTCAACCAACGCCGTGTCCGCCTCGAACCTTTTCCGTCTCGGTACCATCCTCGATGAGAAACCCTTCATTCGTCAGGCTATTGAAACCATCAATGCCTTCGAGGCAGAGATTCTGCAGTATCCCTGGCTGTTTGTCAGTCTCTTGGCCGGCGTTGTGACTTTGAGGCTGGGTGTCAGGGAGACGCGTGTCAAAGTCGAGCAGACGGCTTCTTTGAGGCAATATTGGAAGATGCCCAAGGCTGGGGCGAACGCTCTGTTGCTCGGGGCGGATACGCGTGAGTAAGCATGTGGAATAGAGTGGTTACTGCCGAAGGAAGGATGAGGATTCTTGTTACGGCTCTACGCGCTCAGGTCTCTCGGAGTTTTGGAAGATTTATTGATCCTTATGAAAATAGTTGCATAGTGAGCGGATTTCGCAATGGAGTTGATACCATCTATTCAATTGTCACGGTAATCGATGTTTGACTGTCGGAGCTTCTGGATAAGACCAAGTCTGTGATAACATCACTTGCCAACACCTGTTAGAGCTTTGTGTTGCCATCTGGTATTCCTGGGCTTTCATCCCTTCATGGCTTGTCACCCCACGCTATAAACCGTGGCCATCCATCCAAATATAGGTTGGCTTCCTCCTCCTCTTCTTCTCCTCCTTCATCGATATCATAGTAATTTTGTCAAGTCATACGGTGCGCCAGTCCTTAGTCTAGGTGCTGTCACAGAACCTCGACCAGTTTACCACTATCGATCGAGTAAGGGTTCAACACAGCGACCTACCATGACCTTGAGTTTGACTTCCTATCCCACCCCTGTTGACATCTCGCAACCGTTTTTCCAATTCTTCCTTTTTTTTTTTTTTTTTTTTTTTTAGTTTTTTTTTTCTATCCTTGTTATTATTGAATTGTCCAAATAAGAAATTTCGATCACTGCATCATCTCTTTGAATTTCCAGATATCACTATTGACAAAAGATCCTGCAGCGCCAAGCTTCGGTATTTGTGTCTTTCTCCTCTGACTCAACAGTGGCTTCGATTTCAAAGTCATCGTACACTGGGAACAACTTCGAATATGAGAGTGTCCGCTTACCTCAAAAATTCACGGAGCGCACTTGCCTCAACATGACTGGCAGTGAATGAGGTCAGAGCAGTTGCGCGTGGGCAATCACGTCCGGGTGCCATGCGTGGCGGTCTTTTCCCCTGATATCGTCAAACCAAACCACAAATCCGACTAGAAAAGACCTCGCTTCTTACGGCTGGAACGACACTGCCAATTCCTTCGTGTATCATGGCTGGGTACCTGTTTGGGAAGTCAAGCTTCTGCGGTCATAATTCTTTAAAGCAAGCGTTTCTCTCTGCTGAGGTCCTCTGAAGGAAGGCGCCAGCTGGAGTAGATAAAAAGCTGTCATTAACCGAGAAATCAGGTACATTTCTCTTGATGACCTTGGGTTCTCTTAGGATTATTTCCCATAACATCAAACTCGGTCTTGTTCGCCGTCATCAACATACTCCTAAGTCATTTTGTTCGACAATCGTTTGATTGTCATTTTACTCAACGCCTAGTTATCAGAGTCACCATTTACCAAGAATACATTTCAACGACCCCTAGTGAAACAACAAATCCCAAGCATTGCCAACAATCGTCCCCTTTGTTTACCACCGAGATGTACGCAATACTGAAGCATATCAGTCGAAAGCTCGCCATGCTCAGTGTGAAGCTCGCCATCATACGCAAGGACGAGTTCATGTCTCTTTCAACATTGGTTCCCTTGTATATACCCCATTTGAAATTGGACTGGGACATTGCCCCCTATCGACGCTTTGAATCCTTCAAGCACAGATTTAGCGTTGCTCGTAAGGAATTTTAGTTATATTAGTCGATGGGATAGAGAGCTGGTGGAGTTGGAGTTGACAGTCCAAGCAATTATGGACATGCGCAACAGAGTTCCCAAGGCGAGCGATCCAAATCCCTGTATCACCTATTTCCTTCCTCACCCCTACCTACCGACCTAAGCAGCAAGAAAGAAAGATCCTCTCTAATTTGGACACGTCGTTTGGTTCGGCTCGGAAACAACAGCACGAAGGTTTTGCCGATAGAGGTGAAACCGCTCCAACCATCGTCGAGGTAACCTTTGTACACCTCAACAATCGTATGAACAAGTGCAATGCTCTGGGGCTTCCCTGGGGCGAGTCCACACCCAAGCAGCCCGACAATATGGACCTCAAATTGGCCCCCACCTACGAGAAGCCTGTCTCCGCGGAGTATATACCTCCATTTCGCCGACAAAACGATAGGATCATTGAATAGCTGTTGGAAATGAGGTGTTCGAGTTTTGGCAGGATGGGAGTAGCGGTGTTTGGGAATTTGGTATATACAGTACCCTACATCAGGGGCGGATGGAAGACATTCTTCACAGCGTATGAAGAGCAGTTAATGCGGAATTGTCAAAAGTGAGGGCGTATATTTGTCTATGCATGGAGTGATCATGGTACCGTGTAATTTCGAGGCGTTCGTTTTTAGCTTCCAGGGAAACCAGGCATAAACTGTAAGTATACCGCAATATTCATGTCTGCCAGAAATTGTATGCTTACAGATTCTGCATGGTTTCCCTGGAAGCTAGAAACGAACGCCCAGAAACTATACGGTATCGCAAAGACTCGGGGCGTTGATTTTTAGGTTCCAAGGTCTAACTGGCAGAATCTATGTGTTAGATGCCTTAGGGTTTGGGTTTTGGTAGAGAATTCGAGCATATGCAATACTAGAGGTGCCTCAAGTGTACAGATTATGCTTGATTTCCAGGGAACCTAAAACCCAGTGCCCCGAGTCAATACGGTAGGTTGCTGGGCGAGAGGACTTGGTTGCATGTACATTTGAGACGGGTGCAGGTGGTCTTTTCCACCAAGCCCATCCACATTGAGACAGGAAGGAACCCAATTTTCACTACTGGACTGACAGTAGCGAATCCCTTATGTGACAGTTTCGAAGTCATTCAATTGCGGTTGTGGTTCTCTAAATCAGTAGTTCGCGCTTGCTGAGCTCCTCGAAGAGAAGGCGCCAGATGTGAAGTAGACAGATAGCTGTCAGAAAATGAGAAACCACTATCCGCCAATGTTGACAATCGTGATAAATGCTCCCATCACCCTGGGTTCGGTCTTCAAGCCATCAACAATGACATGTAAAACAGTTAGTGATTGCTCCGATTACCGTAAATCAATAGTCCTCTTATTCAAACAGTCATTATCAACAGTCATCACGATCGACACACTCATTATCACGACCACCATTGACCAAGACCGCCTCGTCCCAACCAACGGGTTTACCGATTAAACATCCCGTACTCAACGCCCATCAATCGCCTGCTCTGATACACCTCGTACACCAAGATGAGTGCCACCATTGATAGGTACATCCACAAGGCTACCCTGTTGAAAAACAAGGTCGACATCCTATTGAACAAGGACATTCTTTCGGCAATGCTCCCCGTCCAAATGACGGTGAGAATAGATAACGTCATAGCTCATTTCCAAATCTGGCGGACTGTCTTGCCAGAAAAACTCAGCGTGGCTCGCCGGGATTATTTCGCCCAAGGGGCTATGAAGTATTCCACCAATGAGTGGATCAAGGTTGGGCTTTTGCTGGATGAGATTGAGATGACTCGTAAGTGGCAGCCATCTTTCTATACAGTAAACACATTCCTATTTTCGGGGGGGAGAGCGGGAGTCTATAACTGGACTAGGCTTGTCAACTACAAATGATAACTCTTTTCTCCCATGATTATAGTCAACAGACTTGTTGAAGTCGGCAGCAAACTTGGACGGGTAAGTGATCAGATTCCAGCCCCTCGTATGCCTGACCCCTACCATCCGTTCAGGTTGCTACCTACCTACCTACCTACCTACCTTGCCCATCTAAATAGACAGAAGATCTCTCGCTAACTCAAGCTGTTCGGTTCATTCTCGAAATAATAGGGAGAAGACGTGTATAATGAGACGTTCGATGGCATAGAGGCGAACTTTATTCAGGTCATGGGTTGCATGAATATGATGTATGTTCTGAATCTTCCCTGAGGTTCGATCAATCAGCACTAAAATGGTGGGTTTTCTGGCACATTTAAATGGTAGGAAAGAATGGCAGCACGAGACAGGTACATATGGGGTACATATGGTGCAGGATGACATAGCGGTGGGTGTTTTGGAATTTGGGATACATCATGATGTGACGAAAACGTGGAAATGGGAGCGTTGTTACAGTAATATGTGCTCCTAGTACTTGTGCCAAGGATCAGTTGAGTCAGATTAAGCAGAATCGGTTGGCAAGGTAATGGATACATGGAGGATGCCAATGAGGAAGACCGTCGGCGAGGCAAAGAACGCTAACCAGCCTGTGTCGTCAGTGCCCTAAAGCCATATTGATCAGATCACAGTGCGGTAGCTGAAGAAGAAGTGCTGTCAAGCTGGATATGGGCCGCACTGCCAGGTGCGTTGAGGAGACAGGGGGAGGGGGTCAATAAATTGAGGCGATGGAGGAAAGCGTCGCTATGATGGGTGAGGACTTCGTGGACCATACAGATTTTGAATTTGATTGTGAATTTGCCCCTCTTGCAGGATGAAAATTGACAAGGCAAAATGGATGAGGAAATGTGGAAACGTCTTTGGTATTCGACAAAGCTGTTCCCACTCCAACTGCACTCTTTTACCCAACGTTGACTCCTTCTCTTGGTCTAAGAGCTGTTGGGTGTAGATGTGGTGTGGATGTGGATTTGATGTGACGGGAGGATGCAACTGATTCTGCAATTCACATGTCCGCTAGGATCATTGATTTCAAAGTTTCACTACAAGCGCGGCAGACTTGGCCCGCAACGCCTTTCATAAACGTAGAATTTCTTTTCATTGTTAGTTGAAGCGCGGAAGTGGCGTATTGGCGTTGTTAGTTCCGGAGAGTTGGTAGCGTTGACGAGCCGTTGGTGTTGAAGGAATGCTCTTCCTTTGATCATTAGCGGAACGAATGACTTCTCGACAAGGCAACAAGATTGAATTCACTCCGTAGTAGTCAATCCACCTCTAGGAATCATTCAAATCGTTCAGCGGTAGTAAATCTATTTGGCAGTGTATCGATTGGTTCTGCCATATCTCTGGGTCTTCACAGCGGAATAGTGGGTACGCAATGAGAATAGTGTGTACGCAATGAGCATAGTGTGCGGTGAGGAAGATTTTGCTGCTAACTAATCGCCTTTTATGCGTGGCTTCAACCCGGATGGGAAGCCCAGTTGTAACAATCGTCATCTTTCTGAATGTGGTAAGTTGGTTGCGAATATCTTGTGAGCAGTATGGCTTCTTGTGATCGCGGCTCGTTGGACACTTCACGTTTCAGAATCGAACTTGAGAAAAGCAGGGAAGTCATGGCTACCTCTAGACAAAGAGATGTTGAGGGAGACCGGATATAATATTAATGGATGCCTCTCGTTTTCCACAATTCATCTCGCCTCATAACAATTCCAAGCTGTGATCTTATTATTGTAGTCCCCACAACACGGACAGCCCATTTGCATCTCACTTCAACATGGAATGTCGGTCCTGATAAATCTATCGCTCGGATCGATTCCCAGGCTTTTGTAATATATTTGACTTGCTACTAACCAGAGCACCTTGGCGTTAATGATCCTCGTCACTACCTGTAGGCCGATGGCGGCGATTCAAGATGGTCGAGCTGACGGATCATTCAAGACTATAGGCTGTATGTATTCAGTCAGGCAGCTTCACCATCGGCAAAATGAATCAGGGTGGTGGATGGCTTGGACTGGAGGCTTGGGCGTTGGGACACTGGGATATTTGGGTAATGGGACGTTGGGAAATTGTGACATTGGGATGCTGATCGTCAAGTGACCAGCTGAATAAGTTGTTCTTTTAGGATTTGTTACTACTTTCATCGTTGTCTTGTTTGCACCTCTGTGATGCTGTGTCTGACCTACCCGCTACTAAACGGCCGCAGTACTTGCGATTTTATGTACAATAACAAAATATATATAGACTGAATACATGCTTCTACTGTTATTCTGTGCGTCAATTGGTATAGTACATTTCCAGGATGTGTCTACATCATTATAGCCATAGGCCAAGGTCCGTCAGCGACTGGAGTGTGATATCATTTACGATGGTATGGACTCGGCTTGTATGAAAGTTTACGACGCTCAAGCATCAATGTGCCTTATTCAGGAGCCGAGAATGCTCACAGCCTTTCAAAAGGGTCGTCTTGGCATGTTATTTCGCGCATGATGGGGAAGAGGAACCAGGGGACACGAGGCAACAGGCAGACCGGGCAACGGGAAGACAGCGGCAGTAGATGGGTATTACTAGGGATGGTATGATGTTGGGAGCTCATGACTGCCGGCTCCTGTTCATAAGGCCAGTGAAGAATGCTTGCAGGTTCTCGGTATCCATCTGGGGAGTCTCCTCCACAGTCTCGTCCTCGGGGCTAAGAGGTTCGGGCGAGGTGCCGAAGGCTTGGCGTTCCTAAGCAGAGAGCATGTTAGCGGGTGTACATTAATCAATGACAAGGATCGTAGATCATGGTGGGCTACCACAAGACGAAAAACTTACCTTAAGTCGCTGGAGCATGTCGTCGGCATCCACCTGAATGCCTCCCATGTTGAACTGCACCGGGCCAATATGCTCCAAGACCTTGGCCTCGGCTTGCTGTTTGAGGTGGTCGTCCTCCGCCGTCAACGAGTCCGACGTCGTTTTCCTGGCGCTCTTTATCCTGGCCAGATGGCCGGTTGGCTCCTCGTTCTTTTGCTTGTATACATCTAACAACTTCAGCTGCTTTTCCAGGAACTGTTGTGTCTCTGTTGTCTGCACTTCCAACTTGGTCGAGTGACTGCTCGAACCGGCAATATGGAGCGCGTCCATGGTTGGATCTTGTACAGAAGCCTCGTACAATGCGACAGAGGATCCATCGGGCTCTGTTGGCTCTTCGTACTCATCCTCGTCAAGTTCTTGCTCTTCATCACCAGTCTCGTTGTCGTTTGTCTCGCCTTGTTGTTGATCGTCACCATTGGCGACGCGTTGGGGTTGCCTTGGCCACGGTATGCTTAGATCCGCTGTCCATCCGGAGCTGACCGCCTCGACATCAAATCCTTCCCTGAGCACACGGATTTTACCCCAAGAGTCCCAGTTCGGGGGTACGAGAATCTTATCTCTGTCGATGACGTTGTGTTTGAGTGGCTGCTTCTTGAGCAGAGAATGAATGCCCAGGCTGGAGTGCACTAGAGTGGGTAGCTGTGAGGGCAGCGAGGGAGTGGTGTAAATGAGGGATGCGCCGTCTGTGAAACAGCATCTGTCAGTTCCATGTCCTTGAGTAAAGAGGTACCGGATGGACATGACTTACGCCGTAAGAGGATCGTTCGGAGGAACTGTAGCACCACGTCAAACTCCTCTTCTTTCCAGCCTTGAGTCTTCTCCAAATGGTCCATCTTCTCGGCCTGGATCATCACGTTAGCTTCCCGCTTGTGTCCACGCAGCTTCCAGTCGAATAACCCACATTCTGGCACACGACGCAAAGTGGCATACCCAAGGCATCCTCCCACTCTCCAGGACCAACCGGAAGGGAAACATCAGCATCCGCAGACGTGGTCGGGACAGCACTGGTACCATCCAAGTTGAGCCCTCCACCTCGACCTCGTTCCCTCCAAACGGTCATGACCTCTTCCATAGTTGCCGAGCATTCGCGGTTGAGTTTCTGAAAGACGGTTCGTAACAGCAAAATCCACTCTCTCAGTTGGCGCATCCATTTCCAAGGCTGTGACCAGTCCAGCAGGATAACTATCAGCGTATTCGGTATCGACTGCGGCGTGATAAGAGGCTGTATAAGGGAGGCAAATGCGGGCGAGGGGTCGGTAAGGGTGTAGAGAGAGATGCGCGCTAGGGTGTCTTCCTGGTCGGCATCTAGGACGTCGTAATACGTGTATCCGAGGGCGAAGCTGTTTGCGATGGGTGGTTTGCGTGAGCCCTGGCGGTCGGTGTTGCGCCGGAGCTCGTTCCTAGAAAGGGATTCGAAGAACTCGCGCTGGGAGTCAACACTACCACCGAGGAGCAGGATGTTCTTTTCGGGGAGACGTTTGGCGCTGGCAACGGAGTCCAGCATGGAGCTCCAGAGCTCCTTCTTCTCCTTTTCGCCATTTCTGGAGTCGGAACCCGTCGACGCGGTCGTGTACGTCGAGTATCTGTTCGTGTTGGCCGCCATGTTTACGGCTCGGTCTCTGCCGTCCTATAGGAACTGGGGAGTGCTCCCAATTCTGTCTGTATCCACCGAGTTTGAAGGAATTCAACGGTAAGAGGCGATGTTGGTGTTGTTGAGGTCAGGAGCTCCGCTGAGACTATCGCATCTGTACGCGAGACGTAGATTCGGGGAGGATATCGCAGTGACGGGCTCAAAGTTCTTCTCGTGAGAGGTCTGGCCTTGTCATGGCGCGCTGAACCTGCGATCGTGGAGTGGTGGCCGAAAGGGTTTTTGTCGTAAAGGCAAACAGATGAGAAGGCCGCATAGGTCGGTCGATAAGAGTCGGGAACCGCCCTGGTGAGCTGGACCTTCTCAAGTCGGTGTTTTCCCTACAGTACTAGCGGGCCGTCAATTGCCCGAAACGCGACTTGCTTCCAGGTGCTCCAGCGCTCAGTTCGCATGCTAAAGTGCAACCCAACAGACGACACATATGCCGTGACACAGAAGGCTCGTTGTTGCGCCTGTGGACCATTGAGCTGGGGAACGGGAGCCACGCAGGCGCGCAGGGAGGACCGTTGCCAGTCCCTTCCGATTTGGTGGAGTCGCTTTCGTCTGTCGGGCGTCGATCAGGGCGGGGCGGAGGGACTGGTGGTTTCAGCCATTCACACTTAAACCCTAACCCTAACTATTATCTTTCTAGTGTAAGCTGGGCTCGACTGGTCAGCAGGGCCAACAACCTGGAAAAGGTGCAGACGTAGATGGGTGACAGCCCTTTCCAGGTTGGCGCTGACGAAGTTTCGATAAAATGGTGGAAGGTTCGGGACAGTCACCCGGACATAACAGATTTACACCAAGTTTCTGTGCATTTCGGTTAGTCGTTCATGGAATTGTGACTCGCTGCGCCACTTCTGGGCAATAGTAACCCGTCATGGGTCTAGGCAGCCGCCCCAGGTCCTCCAGCTAAAATCCATTACATATCCACCCAGAAGCTGCTGCTGCACTACAACACCGTCATCAGCGGATCAATCACATCTGCCCGGCGCCCTCTTATAAGCTCACAGCCGTCCACTTACATCACCTAGAAACGACCTTTTTCATCCGTCCATCTCTTTCGCCCAGTCCAGTGACATCTTCTCGCTCGCCTCAAAGTTTTCGATTAAACATCGCGACAACAGCCCGAGAGGGTATCATCACCAAAACAATGTCGGGACCCAAGTACACGCCTGCTCCGCAGGAGGACCCCGATGCCCACCTTTACTACCCGCAGCCTCCTCCGTCGTACCAAGCAACAGCCGAGAGCAGCGCAGCCAACGCCGTCCTCGGTGATCAGGCTCGCCTTTTCTCTGGTGCTCCGCGCAGCAGTCAGGACGATGATCACGATATTCCCGATGACTTCAAGGTACGAGAAACCATGCTACCGAATAATATCCAACCAGGATGTAATTAAACCCTGCAACTAACACAACCCCAACAACAATACAGTTCGGTGGTTCCGTCGCCGAAGCCACGGTTGAAATTCGTCACCAATTTATCCGCAAGGTCTATACCATTCTGACGGTCCAGCTCATCGCCACGGGCGCCGTGAGTGCGCTCAGCTTCCTCAGCGATGGCTATAGGAACTGGATCCAGTCTCATCCCGCCATGATTTGGGTTTCTGTACGTTCCGTCGCTTCACCCTACATGATCCCCCGTTTCGTTCCCTTGCTACTTTACCATGGTTCTATCATGTTTCCCCCACCGGCAAACCACAGTTACTAATCAATTATTTTTGCTCACAGTTCGCCGGCGCCCTCGTCTTCATGCTCCTAACCTTCTGGAAGCGTCAATCCTACCCCACTAACTTGTTGTTCCTCTCCGGCTTCACGTTGTTGGAAGCCTACACGATCTCCGTGTGCGTCTCCTTCTTTGATTCGACCACAGTGCTACTCGCAGTCGTCATCACCGCCGGCATCTTCGTCTTCCTCACAGCTTTCGCCTGCCAAACCAAGTACGACTTCACCTCCTGGATTCCGTACCTCGGCGGCGCCCTTTGGGGTTTGATTATCACGGGCTTTATCTACGTTTTTCTGCCGCACACGAGCACCTCGGAGCTGGTGTATGGTGGTGTCGCCGCGCTGGTGTTCTCGGGGTACATTCTGGTTGATACCCAGCTGGTGATGCGCAAGTACCATGTGGAGGAGGAGATTGCGGCAGCGATTAGTTTGTATCTGGATATCCTGAATCTGTTTCTGGCTATTTTGAGAATTTTGAACAGTCAGTCGGATAACTAGGAAGAAGACGGGTACGAGACGGATTCAAGCTGATAGGTTTGGAAAAACATTTCGGTGGGAAGGGTTGTAAACGGATGGTAATGGGAAATGGGATCACATGCGGGGATAGGGCTCTTTGGATTTCGGTTTTCGATTGATTGCGCTTCAAATTGGTCTCTACCTGGTCAAATGGGTTTGCAACTGTATGGTTAGCTTTTAAGGCTAGAAATGTTGGACCAAAAAGCAACACAAACCAAGAACGGGAAGGACTTTCCTGTGTATATCGTCTATGGAATTATTAAACAAAAACACAGCGTTTCCGACCTAATACGATATTATCACTCTCAACATCTTTTACCCGCGCAACATCATCTGCGGCAATCAAGTGTCGTAGCAACAGAAGCACGTAGCCATGAACTTCGTAAAATGCAACTCTGGCAAGATCAATAACTTTCAAGTGTTAGCATCTCTGTGCCGTAGCAGTACAAAGATGCTCATTACTAGCTCAATGTTATATAGATGATCCGAGACAAGTGAAGTGCATTTAATTTAGTTGATATCTGCATTAGAAGTCCAATAGTAGAAGTTGGAAAATTCGGGGTGGTGCCATAGGTGTTGGACAAAACCTAAGGCCCCTAGAATAATCAAGACAAGTCATACGGCAGAAATCGTTTCCCGTCAATACGTCCCCAGGCCTTCTTCTTGTCCCAAGCAGTCTGTTTAGGTACTTCTTGCTGCGTCGACGGCAGGCAAGCTGAGCATACCAGTTCCACTGACTAATCGAAACGAAACCTCTGCGGGGAAGACATGCTCCTATGCCGCAATGCGGGTATCCCCGTCAATTTGAGGAGGCTGCACTGAATACCGACTTGATTGAATGCCCTTGTCGAGACTGAACCCCTCACCGTGTTGTCGTCGTCACCATCGTATGTCTTCTTTGGAGCCATTATCTCCAGTAAAAAAAAAAGTCGCAAAATAGCGGGGAATATTTTGTCAAACAACAAACAACACCAAAGAACCAACGCCTGCGTATAATGACCCGGTCGCCCTGTGGGGTATTGAAGCTGTTCATGTGGATGTAAACAGAGACGACAGATTAGGTATGTGAGTGCTAGTGTCGTTGGTGCTTAGTTTCCATCTGGGGAACCGTTAATTTCCTGATGGCTGTGGCTGGTAGTGGGTGTCCCTGCTTGGGCAGCAGCCGCCGCTTCGCGTTGCATGCGGGCTTCGATCTCACGAAGCTGAGATTCGCGGGCGAGGAGCTCCTGGCGCTTCTCGTTGATCTCGCGTTGGACCTTAACCTCAATCTCACGAAGCTTCTCCTCCTCACGACGCAGCTGCTCCTCCTTGAGTCGGACGGATTGGGATGCGAGATCCTCGGGGTTCATTGAGGAGTCACTATATCAACGTTAGTACTGTATCCGCCACGTGGTTGCAATCGGAAGCTTCAGGGTAACACTTACACTCCAGCACCACCCTCAACGCTCTTGCTGAGCTTCTCGGTACGGTAGTTTTCGTATAGGAAATCGTGGGTGATCTCCTTCAGATCGGCGAGATGCGAGTGCAACAAGGCCGAGCGGATAGCCAAGAAGTCGGAATGGCGCGGGTTATCAACCTCAACAACACCCCATGGGTATTGGCGAGCGCGGACCTTGCGTCCACCAATCTCGATGATATCCTCCGAGCCGACAATAGCGAACGGCATGAGACCTCTGAGTTCGGCGTTCTCCTCTACGGTATCCTCATCGTCCTCCTCGATATCGTAAGGGAAGTTGTAGACCGGGATACGGTAATGCTCGATATCCTCCATCACTAGCTTCTTGGACTCGGCAAGCTCAGCTGGGGTGAGCGTATCAGCGCGGCCGATCACGGGAATGACGTTGACTCGGGGCGCAAGGCGCTTCATAAGCTCGATGTCCAGCTCACGGAGACTTGTGCACATGTTAGTTGCGGTTCAAGATGTGTCAAGATGTGTAACAGGAGAAGTGAAACCTACCCATGGCCAGTCGGGGTGATGAAGTAGAGCATGGCGTGGACACGGTTGTCCCTGAAGCGGGGGTTACGCTTGATGCGCGACTCCTCCGCAAGAATGTCATCGTACTGCCTTTCGAGATAGCCAACAATCTCGGAGAAGCTGGCTTCATTGTCGATCTGGTCACCGAAGCCGGGGGTGTCGACAATGGTAAGGGCGATACGCGTCCCTTCCTCGTCCAGCTCAAGTTCTGTAGTATAGATAGTTAGACAACCGCCACTCGCACCGTAGGATCCTCGACTGGAGTGCGAAGCATACCAACTGTGATGGGCTTGATCTTGACGCCCTCCTCGACGTGGGCAGTCGCGGGATCATCGGAGTCCTTGTGAGTAAGAACCTCTTTGCCGCAGAGGGTGTTGACAAAGGTGGTACGGCCTGGGAGATAACGTAGTGGTTAATCCTTGATCAGGGTACGACGAGATAGACTGGTTGGGGGTTGGAAGGACTCACCAGTTCCTGAGGCGCCACAGACCATCAGGCAGAACTGGATACCCTTCTTGACGTTCTTCTTGCGGCGCATCATCTTCTGCCGGGAGGAGATGGTGTTAGTGAACATGACGTGCAACCGGATAGCTTATTTGGGTAGCAATTGGCAGTGTTGTAGGTCGAGGACACGAAGATGGAGTGCCAGGACGGTGAGAGAACGACGAGAACGAGACAAGCAAACAAACAAAACATACGGCAGGCAGAGACATGGTGACAGCTGGCGGTTGGCGCCTTTAATTTCTCGACAACGGGTCCGTACCAACAAACAACAAAAGGGTAATAAGGGGAGTGTCTACCTCAGAGGATTGACTGGGGAAGAATAGTGGTGGTATAGTTGATGGGATTGGCTATCCAGTCACCAAAAATGCGGCGACTGAGAGATGTCTTGGAGATGGAGACGGAGTCGGGTAGAGGTAGGGTAGTGTTGGCCGTGTGAGAGCGAGGTATCGAGGTCGTGGGGAGGTCGTGGAGTGGGCGTTCGGATTGGAAAAGGAGAACATGGCAAGTGCAATTTCACAAAATGTTGCGGTGTTACGGCAATGGACTGGACTGGGCTGCTTTGCCCAGAGTGGACGTGGGCGTGAACGCTGCCACACAGTGACAGGGCGCCCGGGACGGGATGATGGGGACCGGCCAGGACCACGCACCTGTGCACCTTCGGGCAGAGCAGTGGCCAATGACCTGATGGGCGTGGCAGGGAGGGGACGAAAGCGACGGAGGCAGCGCGCTGGCTCGGTTTCTCACAGTGCCGCCCTGAAGAGGGCTGCAACTACTGCAAGAATTAAGTAACCTCTAGAGGTACGCTTCCTACCTCTAGGTATACAGTAGTAGCGATCCCAGCTGTATGGGAGGAACCTCCTGTGCTTCCTTGCTTGCCCAGAGCACGGATCCCATCCTCATCACGGGCTAGAATAAACACACAGTGGAGACAAACGGGACCAGGAAACCTCATATCGCAGGGCGGAAGTGGAAGTGGACGCTCGAGGAACGGCAACCTCCAGATGCGTCCGGATAGAATACTGAAGAGATGGACATGAAGAGCCTCCAGTAGCTCAAGTCCACTTCAGTGTTCGATGTCGTGGACTACCTAACAAGCACAAACACTGATTCACACAGCCAATCTACCGACTACAGCTCATTCGACTCGTCACGGACGTCTTAACCTGAAGCTGCAATCAGATGGGAATTGGCAAGACCTGTCCCAATCCGCAATTAACAACAGCTCCATGGCAATCAGGGGGTCATTTGCTAAGCTCCTGACGCTTGACTAATTCTGGAAAAGCGTGTAACCCCAACCCCAGGCTGTCTTGCAGACCCCTCCCGGTGATTCGAGCTTCTGAGAGTGGGCAACTGGGGGTGCGGCTATGGTGGGCAAGCAAGCGCATTGCCAGCTGTCAGCCATTTAATGTACATAGTACATACATGCATTAGGTATCGCTCAAGTCTGCTGTCATGCTGTCATGCTTCCCGTCTTCATCATCAGGTTGATGCCGTGTTGGATGTGCTTCGATCCCGTCGATCCATCACCGAGGCTTGCTCAGTCCAGTTCATCGCGAGAGATCCAGGCGTCGTCCCCAACTCCCGGGGCGTAGAGGTACTTGTCATCGGCGCGGGGCAGGCGGGAACTTCCTCTTGCGATCCATCCCTCACTTGCAACCAGACTCCAGAGCTTCCTCCAGTCAACGTCCTGCGCATTACCAACATTCCACTTGGTAACCGAGCCGCCATGCGATGCTCTCATTGTCGGCCCGCCCCTGCTGAATCCCGTCATTGTTGTTTTCTGATCTCATTGTCTCTCTCTTAAAGAGCCTCCAGGATAGGTCCCGTCAGGCCTGAACAAAGCCATAGGTACACAATTCTCGCTCGATCACGAACGTTGTGTGGAGAAACCATACGGCTCTGGTATATCTTGATTACTCCATACCCTTTATACTCCCGCAACTTCGACATACTGTTGTGTACAGAGTGTCGAATGGACGTGGCGTAGTTGGGGCGCCTGCTTTGAGAGCTTTAATCAATCGATTGTGACTGCGGGGCGCACGCAGGTACTATCTTACATTATATCATCCACACTATACATGTCGACGGACTAACGACATCGTCGCAACTCCCTGGTATACGACACCTGCCCTATCTCGTCCACTTACAACCTCCCATACTTATCAAGCTCCTACGTATATTAGTGTTTCCCAGCGATTTTTCAGCAAGCTTATCCCTTCATCTCACTGCAGAGCTACCACTCTGTATCATTTCGAACCCCCTCTTATCAGATTGATCATCGAACCATTCATGGCCGCGTTGGATCTGACCACCTCCGCGGCCCGAACCTCCACATCCGCTCTCTATCTTCGAAAAGGACGTCCAGGCTGAGCGAGCATAGGACATCCAGTGCGCCAACCACACTCTGTCAGCAAGTAAAGACTTGGCAGAAGCTTCACGCCTTTGGTCACCGTTTTAGATTGTGTACTTGTAATACCATCTGGGTACCTATCCTCGTCAAGTCATTCCTCCAGGAGCTTCCTCTACACAACGAGGTTCCACGGTGGTGATAGACTTGAGTTCGGCTCACAGCCTGAACAACCTTCCCCATTCTCAACACATCCCTTCTCCGCTCGACTTGTTGGCTTGCGCCAGCCCGTAGAGGTAGTGATGGACACTAGAAGGATCCTCGAACACCCGGTACTCGCACCCGTGCTGTCGGTTACCTTCAACCATGATAACAGCTGCTTCGCCGTCGGTTTAGACCATGGTTTCCGCAGTAAGCCTCGAGAAAGCCTTGTTGTTTGCCGTTTTGATGTTATCCATATGGGACAAACACTGATGGCATATGTTCATCTAGTTTATGAGTCGGGATCATGCGTTCTACGAACTTCTCGCGGTAAGTGGAGACAAAACCGCGTACTGTCACTTCAGCAATAGAGCAATTTACTGATGATATGTCCTCGTACAGACTTTGGTGCTGGTATCGGCATGGTCCAGATGCTTGGTCGCACAAACATTCTTGGACTAGTTGGTGGTGGGCGGCAGACAAAGTTGAGCCGAAACAAGGCAAGTCATGTCAACTTTCATTCTTCTCCAAGCTGTGCGATATGGTCAAAGATATACTAAAACGGCTACATTATAGCTCGTTTTATGGGACGATAAAAGTAAGAAACAAGTAGGCGTCATCAGCGCCTCCTCATCGGTTCGAGGGGCCAAGATGTCCAGCAAGCGAATCGTTCTGGTTTTGATGGACCGAGTGCAAGTCTACCAAACGGCCAAACCCCACCCGCTACTTTCCACATATGAAACGACCGATAACCCTCTAGGCCTGTGCTGTCTCTCCTCGGACCGCATTGCCTTTCCAGGCAGGGCGATCGGCCACGTCCAGCTCGTTGAGGTTGAGACCGGCAATGTCAGCATCATAACCGCGCACACGTCGGCGCTGCGAGCGATGGCCTTGAGCCAGGATGGCGAGTTGCTGGCTACGGCGAGCGAGATGGTAAGGTTTTCAGGGATTGGAACATCACATTGATACAAGAGGGCTTGCTAATACTAGCGCGCTAGGGAACCATCATCCGCGTCTACGCAACATCCAACTGTGCTCGACTATACGAGCTGCGCCGCGGTATCGACAAAGCCATCATCTTCTCCATCAGCTTCAGTCCCTCTGGCAGGTATCTAGCCTGCACCTCCGACAAATCGACACTCCACGTTTTCGACGTGACTCGCCCCGGCGGCACAAGACCGATTACTAGCAACGGCGGCACTGCCTATGCCGCCGGCGAACCTCCAGTCACGAGCAACAACCGCCCTTCTAGCCCTTACTCCGTCGCATCAAGCAGTGGCGGCGGCGGCGGCGGCGGCGGCGTCATGGTCAATAGCAGCAATGGCGGTTCAGACATGGCCGCTGACGATGGACAAGGTCGCTGGGGCTTCCTCTCCAAACTCCCTCTCATGCCGCGCATCTTCTCAGACCCATACTCCTTTGCCTCCGCCAAGTTCGAGATGGCTGACGAGCCCGTGTCCAACGGCAGCCGCGAGCCGCTCACGCGCGACGGGGGCCCAGCCATCATCGGGGGCCCGCTCAAGGGCAATCTGGGCTGGATCAGCGAGACGGAGATGGTGGTCATTGGAGCTGGGAGAGACCCCAAGTGGGAGAAGTTTGCGATCCAGGAGGGCGGGCAGCAGGATGGGTATCAGGGTGGAGGACGCCGGCTGGTCAGGGTTGGGTGGAAAAGATATGGTGGGGAGACGCCTTAGGTGGACGAACGGTTGGGGGATTGGACACTTGTACCGGCGTTGAAGGGAAGTGATGATGGATCTGATGATTCCGTTTTCAAGTAGCATTGTCTGGGGGGGTTATCGAGGAATCATAGGAGGTGTGTGTGCAACGACATCCACGCAGGGTCTGGGTCTGCAGTATCACATCGTTTGGTTCATCCGTTGTATCTGGTGGTGTCTGAACGGTAACAGCGATTTCAGATTGTAGCACTTTATAACAAGACGTAAGATTGTATATCGTCACAAGCATATTGAGGCATTAGATTGGGGAAGCGAGCACAAATACTCCAAATACGAACATCTCGATGTATTTGTGCTACACCGTTAACGAGAACTACAACCCCAGCAAAAGTCATTGACGGTACTTGCTAGAGTCTATCCTCACAACAAGAGAAGCTTGTCCTAGACACGGCAATACACAGCAGGTTGTACTCACCGAGTCATCCCAGTTGTGAATGATCGTTTGGGGGTAAACATGAAGCGTTCTTTAGGCGACCAAGCATAAGTACCTAGTTATACGTCTACCCTCTCGACGTCGGCCATGGGCTCCTACTCCTACTTCTGCTGCTCTTGCGTTCGCTCCTGCGACCCAAATCGCGGTGGCGACGGCGCTCACGGTCATCTGTAAGATCGCGTTCACGGTCATGTCTTTCGCTGTTGTGTCTGTCCCTATCCGTGGCTCTTTCCTTGTCCAGGTCCCGGCCCCGGTCCCGATATCTCTCCTTATCTCTCCTATGTCGGTCTTTGTCCCTGGAGAAATCTCGCCACGATTGCCTATCGTCGTAATTTGCGTCCTTCATCTCCACGTCGTCCGCATCATCGCGTCTTCTTCTTTGTTCTTTGGCAGGGGGGGTTTCTTCTTTTTCGGACCTTGGCCTTTTCCTGTCGGGATGACGATCACGAGAACGAGGACGGTCATCACGACTCCGGGTGCGGTCATCGTGGTTGCGGTCGCGGCCTCTGATGTCGCTGTCGACGTCCTCAACTCTTCTCGGAGACCGGTGTGATCGATGATGACGGCGACCACCCCGCTCCCTGTCCCGGTCCTTGTCTCCGTGTTCGTGCCTGTGTCTCCGACTAGACTTGTGCCTCTCCTTCTCCTCCCTCTTTTTCTCCCTTCTCAGCGCCTCCTCCACCTCTTTTTTCTTTTCCTCAATCAAAAACTCTTTCATAGAATCATCATCGTCATGATTCTCCAGCAGCAACTGCAGCTCCTTTTCCTCCTTCAACAACGGCCTCCTCGGCTTTGTGTCATCCTCCTCTTCGTCTCCAGTATCATCCACCTCACTCACCAACCCCTTCTCCCTCCTTTCCTTCCTCACCATATCCTCCCATCCAATCCTCCCCTCCTCCGGATCCTCATCATCCCTGATCTTGTATCTGGCATGGTCGACCCTGATCAGTCTCCCGCCAATCTCCGCTCCGCCCAAATTGTCGACGGCCAAATCTGTGCTGCGCTGGTCCTCGTATTTCAACCAACCGAAACCCTTGGACTTGCCAGTTTCCTTGTCGCGCACTAGTTTGAGGAAGACGGGCTCGCCAAATTGGCTGAAGATGGTGATCACATCGCCCTCGGACAAGTCGTAGGGTAAGCCGCCAAAGTAGACAAAGGCGGTGTCGCGGTAGTCAACGTGCCAAGAGGCTTCGGGCGGGATGCCGGCTTCGATTTCGCGCTTGTTGAGGGCTTGGATGGCGCGAATTTGGTTCATCGTAGGGGAGGGGGGCGGCTTTTAGCAGGGGGTTTCTCCGCTGCTTCTTGTAGCTTTCTTTCCACCTCCTTTGCGTTGGGGTCAATCGGAAAGATTAGGATAGTCGTGCGGATAATGGCAATGGTTGTGCAGTTATTTGATCATGAGAGTTTACGGTATAAATTTTTTTGTGTGGCGCCCGTGTGCGCTGGTGTGACACGCCTAATTAGAGGAATCACGATTTTCTGTTGAGATTGGCGTTGGTGATGGTTGCGATGACGACGTTTGGTCAAAGATGCCAAGAGCTGTAAGAAATCTGGACCATCGATGCACTTACGCGCTCAAGATTCACCGCGCTCAGAAAGGTGGACGAAGTGGCGCCTGACAAGGGTTAGAGGACTGCTGTGCCAAGCGCGCGTGGATCGCGGTACACTACAGAAAAGGGGCTCTACACTACATTACTTGGTAGGTACCTAAGTAGTTGTACATTGCAAGTGGTGAGGGGCAACTTCAGGGAAACAACAACGACATTGCGCTTGTGGTGCGTGTGGGACATCATGATTACTACATTTATGATGATTGATGTCTTGATCAGTTGCTTCTACGATTGTAATGGTGCTCACTGGTACTGGTTACTAAGTTGTGTGTTTTGCTGGTTTGTGCAATACATGAAGACTCACTGGCTGAAACCCTGGGTATTCAGGGTATTTTAGGGGACGAAGGGTAGCCCAGAAAAGTCTAAATTAACCTCAAGCCCCCCATGTGAGACACGGATACATGTAGAGCTAATCACCTTCGACGAAACCTCATGCCAGTTCGAATACCCTCCTGTTGAAAGTTGGCTCACAGGATACAGTCAATAAAGATAGGGGTTGGAGATTTGGCATTGCCCGGGCTGATCCTTGACCGCTTTGTTCAACTCTCACCCTACACTAGGAATTTGACAACTCACTGCAACAGAATCGTTTGGTGCAAATTGCGAGGTCGCCATCCAGGTTTTCATGATCATCGCTGACAACAGGTTTCAAGTTCCTGTCCGCAGCAGACATCATCTGATAGAGACTACCTTACTTGCCAATGGCATCAATGCTTCATTCTTTTTCTTCTTCCCAATGAATTACGGGCGAAGACAGACGTTGGATGAAGAGAATGTACACATACAGCACGGCAGCAACGTCCATCTTGTCGTCGTACCATGGAGCTGTCCGGTGGCACATGTGTGGGATGGGATGCGAAGGTGCAGGCAAGCCGCCAGCAGGCACTGCAGTCTGCAGCAGCCAGCCAGCATTGATGTGAGGTGGAGGAAAAGGAGGGGCGGGAAACATCCATGCAGTCAACCTCAATGGCTGTGATTGTTTGCAAGAAGGAAAGGATGAAGAGTTTCCCATTGAAGACATTTTGAAGGCAATTCTGCTCTTCATGACCTTCAACGACATCCTATCACGAGCCTCTATCTCATGCCAGGCCAAAAAGGGAGGTCCATGCTTCCCCGCCATTGGGTTTCTGTGGGCTTGGCAGGGTGTTGCTGTCTGTGCATCGATGCTGCAAAAACGGGAGCTCTGATAGCTCGGTCCAATCACAATCCAAATCAATCCAACCTAACATGTTCGTCCCAAAAGTTGCCAAGACAGCTTCCCCTTTTGAATTCAAAAAAAAAAGTTCCCCCAGACAAGCGACAAGGACGTGCCCAACAGACCCTCGCCTGCCATCCGGGCCACCGCTTCCCCTCCCCCCCTCCCCACCGCCTTGGGCCACTGGTGGATCGCCTTGTCTCCTCCCACCTGGCTTGGGTTAACATCTGGCCAAAATCCAAAAAGTGTTCAAAACACATCCGCCCAAGCATACGCCAGTCATCGTGCGTTGAAAGGTGGTGGCTTCGCGGTGTTCATTGCCGCTTTTAGAGTTGTAGCATTGCCAAAAGAGACTACGAACGCCTAGCCCCCCCCTCTCTGCCCCCCCTCCCCTCTTCGGTGACAGACGAGGCGACCCTGTTCCCGTCCCTCGTTTCATGTGCGCAGTCTTCTTTTTCCTCCTCTTCCCTCTTTAAAATCGCCAAACATTGGGTGATTCGTATTGTTAAGGTTGACCTTCCTTGATCCACATCACGCCTAGCCCAGCCCTCCTCCTCGGGGCTCGTCCTGCTCTCATCTAGCTGGCCATACCTTCTTCCTTGACCATCCTTCCTCGCGCTGTCCCAACATTTTTCCTCCTCTTCACATTCGCTATATCACCAGACACGCTGGCGGCGACTAGAGTGTCTCTTTGTGGTTGCTTGTATCGCATTCGCTATCTCACTGTGCAACACAGCGCATAGTTCTTCGACAAAACAGGGAATCCCCTCCTCCGCCCCGCATCTCTGGATCCAGTTCTGTTCCTCTGGTCGCCCACCTTGCCAACTCGATCACTCGACTCAGTGCTTCCCCGACCTGCGCTGTATTCGTCACCAAGAATCCCGTCGAATCTGCTCCATTGTTGAGCTTCTGAAAGCTGCGTCCAGCTCCACTGCCGCCTCCGCTTTCAGGCTTCATCAGTCCACTGCTCTTCAGTTGTTTACCCGGCAGCGAACCAATTGGCGCGCCGTCGCCAGCTCCAGCTTGATCATGGGCGATTCCCATACCCAAAGCTCCAGCAATGGCCCCGACTCACGAATGAGGCGGAATACCGCGACATCCTCCGTTCCCTCCTCCGGAATTACCAGCAGCAGCAGCGCAGCTCTCCCACCTCAGCGGAGGACTGTCAAACGCGAGAAGTCTGGCAACCCCAAGAATATGAATGGTCCCCTCTACATGCAGCGCAACGAAAACATCGTTCTTGTTCGTCGCGTCAAGAGGAAGGGAGAGGGCCCTCTGAAACAGCTGACGCGCTGGTTCGTTGAGAATCAGATCGGTATGTGCACATTTCCCTAGAGGAACAAAGACACTCTCTAGTCAGGACGCAAGACACTAACTTCTCTTCCATGCAGGCTTCGCTTTCAACCTCCTTGCCCTCCTCTTCCTCGCCCATGGATGTATGCCTCGCGCCCGCTCCCACACCGGAAAGTACTTCACGCTCTCGTACTACAACCCAACGACCGGACAATACGGCCTCGGCAAGGATGACGGCTTCCTCATCTTCTTCTGCATCATTCTCTTTACCGGCCTCCGCGCCGCCACGCTGGAATACTTGTTCGCGCCGTACGCAAAGTCCAAGGGCATTTCCAAGAGGAAGGACATCACCAGGTTTAGCGAACAGGCTTGGCTCCTGATCTACTACAGCGTCTTCTGGACTCTCGGTCTCGTATGTTTTCTTTCTCCTTGCCATGCCATGGTGCCAGCCACTCGGTCGCCTCGTTTCCGCCCGCCGTTTCTTTCCGGGGCGATCCGGGTGAACACATAAGTTTGGGGACTGACAAGCCATGGTTTTTTTTCTTATATAGTACATCTATTGGCAATCACCGCACTTCTTCAACCTCCGAGAGCTCTGGACGAACTGGCCCAACCGCGAGCTCACCGGGATTATGAAGGGATACATGCTTGCCCAGCTTGCATTTTGGCTGCAGCAAATTTTGGTCATCAACATTGAGGAGCGCAGAAAGGACCATTGGCAGATGTTTACGCATCACATCATCACCATCTGCCTCATCTACGCCTCTTACAGATACGGCCACACCCGCGTGGGCAACCTTATCCTTGTGCTGATGGACGTTGTAGATTTGTTCCTTCCGGTAGGTCTACTTCCTCTTTACCACCAATACGCGCATCCAAAATACTCACATTGTTCCCCATTTCCAGCTCGCCAAGTGCCTCAAATACCTCGGCCACTCCAGCGCCTGCGACTTCATGTTCGTAGTCTTCATGGTTTCCTGGTTCGTCGCCCGCCATGTTTTGTATCTGACGGTCTGCTACTCCGTCTACGCCCACACGACCTCCGTCATACCGTACGGCTGCTTCTCCGGTACTCCCGGAAACCTGAAGGGTCCCTTCCAGCCGCCCGCTGACAAAGGCGCTCTCTACCTGCTCGAGCCGCTCTGGAACCCCGACGGACTGGTGTGCTATGATGACACGGTCAAGTGGACCTTCCTCTCGATGCTGCTCTTCTTGCAGGCGTTGACCATCATGTGGTTTTCACTCATCATCCGCGTGGCTCTACGCGTGCTCAGGGGCGAAGGAGCTGATGATACGCGCAGTGATGACGAAGGTTGTGAGGATGTTGATGCAGAGGATGACGAGGATGAAACTGAGTTTGTTTACGAGGAGGCTCAAGCGCTGGCGGAGGAGGTGGGTGTTGATGAGCTTGACCTCAAGAACTGGGCGGAGAGAAGACGTGCCGGTCACGGCGTCGGCGGAGTGACTGCCACGGGCGTGAGTCTGCCTGGTCATAGTGATCGGAAGGAACTGCTCGGACGGATTGGGTGTGAGAAGCAGGTTGAGTAAAGAGGCTCCGCGTGAAAAACAAGATAGGATATGGTACATGTCGATGTCACCGTAGTCGTCGTGTCATCCTCGTCGTCGAACGTTCCTAGATGGAACGTCCGGGTAGTGGAGTGGCCGACTTCATTCTCTCTTGGTCGTTACGCATCGGATAAGGGAAGGACAGACCCTTGTTGGAAGCACGAGAAGAAAGAAAGGGTTCTCTTTATCCATATGTACTACAATTACCTGAAAAGACCCTAAGCGCCTACCTAGAAAAGCTTCTTTGTTTTCTTTTTCTTTTTGTTTTGGGACCATAGAACGGGCACCTTTGGGCAGTTGGGCAATCGGGATAAGAAGAGGAATTATATGAAATGGTTACTTCATGATATAACTGATGGTTCGGGCCTATGGGACTATGAGATGAGGAAAGGGAAAAAGAGAAAAAAAGGTTCGAGGGTAACTTTATAGAGCAGAGGAGTAGGATGCGGGCAGGCGTTCAGGGTCGAAGTGAAACTTGTTTATGAAGCATCATCCCTTGCGAATCATTCTCAGGGCTGCCTGGGCACTCGATACGGTATGTGAACTTGGTCTATATTGGTGACTGTGTCTACTGGATGAGGAACTTGCGGTCCCAGCTCCAAAAACCCCATGATGCCTTCAACGACACGTAGTCAGGTTACCTGAAACCAACATGCAACTGCACCATGCACAGCAATATCTACCGAACCAAGCAATCCTCCTTAAAAACACTTTCGGGTCTTGGAGTGAACTCCTGAAGTGAACAAAGGTATAACTCCTAGCCAAATAGATGACCGGATGAAATCCGATGTCCAGAGGATCAAAAACGAATCGAAGCTTTCTTACGTACAACATAGAGAGATGAATGTTCAAGAAGTGAACCAGGGTAAAGAAGAATGTTTCAGTCAGCTGACGTAGCTAGCCAATAACATTCGACACCCAAAGAAAGAAAATGATGCAGATACCGCCATGATTTCGGTCCCTTTGTCTCCAGATGTTTCCCATGATAGCCTTTTGGTAGTCTTTGTTTTCTTTCTGAAACAGAAATGTCATGTCGTCGTAAGAATCCAGATGTATAGCGTTTCTGCGTTGCTAACGAAGGCAAAAGGTGTTGCCATGACTGGACGATGCATGCTGGTTTGCGCAACTGCCGATGTAGATACAGACCTCTCCAAGTAAAGGAAAACCGATCATGATTTGCGCGCCCCAGGCGTATGGGAAGTATATCGAAACAAAGATGTCGTTAACGGGGTTCTGTGTACATGTGCGCACCATACTACAACTGGAGCTATGGCGGGGAGTGTAGCCACGGTGTAGCCCGAGCGAAGAAGCCCTCGTATCACACCTGCCTGCGGAAATGCAAGTCTTTGGGGTGCATTTAAGCAACAACGAGAGCCTCGTTGAGAGGAGGGGAAACGTTCTTGCCGTATTCACCGCCCATGTTGCCTGGAAAGAGTGTTAGTGACTGTACGTTGCTCTTGGATCAAGAAAACTTACCGGCAGGATAATAGTTGCAGACAGTGTACCAGACGTCCATCTGCGAGCTCATGGTACCCTGAGGACAGAACTGGGTATAGCAGCCAAGCTCCTTGGACTCCTTCCAAACGAGCTGAGAGAAATGACCCCAGCCCTCGAAGTTAGACATGTCCGGGTTCGCCTTTCCATAGTCGGAGGCAGGCCAAAGGGAAAGCTCCCCGTTATACCACATGTTAGTTGTGGCCTGAGCACCGGCTTTGACAGCGCCGACATCTTGAACGGTCTGCTTGTCGGAAGAGCCCCACATGGCAATGTTTTGACCATAACCACCACCGCCGGGAGTCCTTATGGTTTGTCAGTACAACTGAAATCAAAAGCATGGTCTGGGAATATCTTACAGGTCATGCTGGAATACGCATGAGGCCGCAGCTTGCTGAGCATAGTTGGCATAGGTCTCTCCCCAAGTCATAGCGCCAGCAGAGTGGTTGCTGCGGTGGATGTTGTGGTGATAGAGAAGCGTGCTGGCGTAGTCGCTGCCGCTAGGGGCAGCGGGAGAGTCGACTTTGGTACTAGCACGTTCCTGCATGGTGCTAGTGGTAGCAGGAGGTGCAGCAACGACAGCAGGCGCAGTAGTCGGCGCGGGCTGCTGAGTGCTGGAGCTAACCGGAACAATGATGACGGTAGACGAAGTAGTCTCCGGAGCAGGGGGCGGGGCAACGACGACAATGCTGCTGGAAGAAGGGGTGGGCACCGGGGCGGGAGCCTGGCTAGTCGGCTGGACCGTGGCCGCAGAAGCTGCCTGAGGATGCGCAGAGTACACCGGGCGGCCAGGGCCATGTTCATGGAAGGCGTTGACGGTAGCAAAAGGCACGCCTCCCGCAGTGACGGTAACGGTAACCCACTCCTCAACAACCTTGGTGGTGAAGTGGACGCGTCTATCCTGGAGAATGGGGCTGGCCGAGGCCATGAGAGCGCCAGAGGCGGCGAGAATCAGAGAGCTCTTCATTTTCGCAGATGTGGGATCGCTTGAAAAATATGAGTCTGTGGTGATATAAAGTTAGACAAGTGCAAAAGGTTGCTGGGACAGACTTAACGGCCCAGACAAGAAGAAATAAAGATCGTGGTGAAGTGAAGGTTAAGGATCGACAGTTGCGATGTTCGTAAAGTTATTGAAAAGAACGAAGATTGGAAAATCCAACGAAAAGTGCAATCATCCTCATGCAGGTGAGGAAGTAATTTCGTTCTCCCCATGTCCCCCGTGCGAGACCCTTTCCTCGGGCGGGTAAGGAACATCACGCGAGACCGTCTTTGTTTGCAAGAACAACGTAGTTGTGCGCCATGGGATGAACGAGGGGTGAACCACCAAACAAAGAATAAGGTGGGTATGATAGGGCTGAACAGTTACGTACCTTCAGTTGTAGTCGATGTTGTTGACGAGGTTACTTTTTCTTCTCAAACGGGTGACCCTTGAGCTGATGGATGAAAAATCCGGGGGGGCGGAGTTATGTAGACAGATCCAGCTGGTGGCAGCGCTGCTGTTACCGATAACCGATATCCTTCAAGGACGTCGATTGTGATCGTGTACTCAAGTGAGGTGTGGGTGAGACAAGAACCGGGTCGGTTGTCGGAAATCGAACAGCCGGCTGGTTTCTCTTTCTCCGAGAAGGCGACTCAGAAGACAATCAGGTCGAGGGAGTGACAATGTCGAGAGATAGAGAGGGTTGCTTGGCAGGCCGTCTCGATCGGGGTCCACGAAAGGTCACCACAAGCACGAGGTCGAGGTCGGATCAAGGTAAGATGGAGGTTTCAGAGGACAAGGCCGTCGTCACCCCAAGATGGAAATCGGAAATGAGCGTGGAGGGGGAAAGGAATGTAAGGCGGGCAAATACCAGGCCGGTGGGTTCAAAGGAGTGAACGGAAGTTGGTTGACGAGCGTCGAACAAGCTGAGCCTGATGGAAGTCCTCGTGGGAGAGAAAACAAGAGAAGGCGGGGTGACGAAGGGAAGTTTTAAGTGAATGGAAGGGTACCAACTGGGGGGGTGTGCGCGCAGGCAGAAGAAAAGAGACGGGTTGCGGAAGTGTGGAAGGATCGACGACCTGCTACCACATCAACCCCCGGCAAGGCAACGAAGCTAATGAACGGGACCCTGGATTAAGACGGAAGGAGCGCCGTCGTGTATTAGGGTAAAGCGAGGGCCGGGCTTGGCACTAGTGCCCGCGATGACCAAATCCCAGCAAGCTGGTCAGGTCCTGGCCGTTTGACTAGGCGGGTACTCGACTGAGTCGACCCCCTTTGATCAAACCGCCGCAGCGGTGGGTTTTCGGATTTCAGGCACCGTGACGGGTTCGAGGGGGGTACAGGGTACTCACTGGCCTTTGCGGGGCGTTAATTTGATCGCAAAATGGGACAGACGTCACCAGTGATCAGTTTTGACAAGTGACGGCAATCATATGATGGTCCACCGAGAGTGATCATCAACAATAGTATGGGAAATGCAATGTCGGGCACCACACAAGGCACGTAGTCGCGAGAACCGTCATCGGCACACACAGGCCGATGAGAAAAGCCAAGAAGCCGGTCAAGGTGGTCACTGCCCAGCGCCTGGGGCAAAAGAAGACTCCATATACTACAACTGCCGTCTGCTCATCTGGCGTTGATTGTGAGAGATTGTCCGTCATTTGTCATGGCCGCACAGGTGTACCTAGCTTCTTGTGATGGTTACGTTATATGACCATTCTCGTATGGCAGCTGCGGTGTGGGTATTACACCGACAGTATGGAAGTTCTAGGCCGTCGTCAGCGAGGATGGTGGTCGGTCGATACCTACCCAACAAAGGAAGATATTCTGATCCCAGGGTGAATCCCCCAGACATGGACTTTTTCCAAATGCAACAGAAGATGCTCACCCAGGGCGGAACTTGATTGGCTCGCCTTCTCCGAAGGTGCTAAACGCTCACAGCTCGTCCCATGTCTCTGGGCGATGCGGATGACGCTCCGTTTTTGGCCTGTCCCGTTCGCTTGTGCTCGTTCTCATGAGACGTCCTGACCCACGGCAGACACTCCAGACTCCCTCCAACGCGGCCTACTGGAGGGACTCGTTCTCGACTCGATCTTCAGCGCATCGCAGGACACCACTCCAGTGTGTGACAGCGGCGCGGGGTTGGCCCTTGCTGGCCCGAGGTGGTTCATGCCTTTGGCTGAGGTGATCCACGAGCCGCCCCTGGGCCGTTGTGGTTGTTCCTGGCCCTGGTCGTCATTATCCAATCCTGTCAATTTGGTACCTGAAGAAGCGGGGCTCTCTGCGGTGTGTCGGTAGTGGATAGGGGAACGAGGCATAAGGGAACAGGGATACACTTAAAAGATGGCGTCAAACACCCGACCCGCACATCGGTGCCCCAATCTACGCTGAAACGGCGCTAATTTCGATGTATCCCCACCCCGCAAATATGCAGACTAACTCGTTCCTTTTCCTCGAATGGGCGACGTTTCTCCTCGATATCTTTCTGCTTGTTGCTGTGGTGACGGGCTTGTTTTCAAAAGGAGCCCAGATTTCCGTGAAACCCACCTTTTAATATCCCCCGGCCACCATTATGCGCAAATGCGCCGCTCTTGGTAAAGATTGCGATTGATCTGCAACGGAAAATACCAGGCATCCAAAGCCGTGTACGTGCGTACCAAGACTCATGTACATACACGACAATCAAGGCGGACGGACCCGCGAGAATGGATGCCGGAAAAGAAAGCGCGGCCAGGGTTCTTGACTTCTCATTGAATCATCAGCTCTTGGCGCCTTCCAATTCACGGCATCATCATCAAGTCTGACTTAACTTCTTCTCGCATCCAGGATACGCGTCGAGCGTCCATATGCTGCACTGCATCGCTTGCTGCATGCAGTCAGCTTTGTAAATGCTCGGATGCTTCGGTCCTCAAAAGAAGCATCAGACTTGCATATGCGACATCCACGCGAACAACCGCAGCCCTCTATGGGACCTGTGCCTACTCCGTTCCCCTCTGTTCTGGACTTCAGTCTTGGAATACCCTCGACTTATGTTAGCATAATATTGTGATCGTCGGACTACAATCAACACGACAAGGCTGAGAAGTCCATTCTCCGTCCACTTGGGTGTCTGTACCTGATGCGGTTCTGGGTTAAAGGCGGCTGCAATGGGTGCCCGCGCGCCTTTGCAGGTTCTTCTCTTCTCTTAGATTGTTCTTCCAACCCCCTCTGTCGAGCCTGGATCAGTACTCCCTTCAGTTTTCGTCACTAGAATCCATACCTATGTCACACACAAAATGGACGCCTTCAATTGATGATCGACAACAATCGAAAGTTTTTCCATATTCAACATGCATATATCTACCCGTGCCTTTTCCACATCATGTTTACAGTCACTCATCTCATCAACATCGTCAAACTTGCATGACCCTTCATGCTCACACTCGTTCGATATCGACGATCCGGAAGTCAGATACGTATGGGTCCGTTTCGTGGAACCTCCGTACTGGGAGAGGGGGGGTGTTACAAACTCTCCGCGAACTGTCTTTGGATAGTCAGAAATTTACTAACTTGTACTTAGAGCTCTCGCGGAGTTTAAGTGTTTGAGTACACCAACGTTTACGCATTGAAATGTTCAGTATTTAATTTACTGCCACTTGATAGACATCTGGCAGTCCAAATTCTCAAAACGTTTGGAATTCCGGACGTTTCGTTGGGCGGGATCGTTAATTAACAGTAAATAGGCAGTCATAACCAGTTCAACATCGGGGGTTCCCGAGGTGCCTAAGTACAGATCGAAAGACACCCCCCCTCCCAGTACGGCTTCCCCCGTTCCCCGTGGAGGTTGTGTTGGCATTTCAAACCCCCATCCGATTTTGCCCAAGTTGGAAAGAGGGACACACGGCTCCAGATGCGCTTCTCTTGTTCCTGATTTGTTGTTTCATCTCTCTGTCGCCCCTCAACCGGCCCCACCAATTGGCTGGAGATTCGATGAGCTGACGCCCATTCAACCGGGTTGTGTTCTGGGCTCCTCGACACAGCAAGAAGGTAGTTTCTAGGGGAATGGGTCGTTGTGCCCATGCCAACTTCATCCTGTCTTGTACATTGTGCGCATGGTGGAATCTGATCTTCCCCTAGAGAGTTTTGGAAGTTCCAGAACACAGGAGACATGTACAGGCCCTTGGCCAGGTGCTTGGGTACCCATGCGCAATCTGTCTGAGTTTCTCCGAATTCTTCGAGGAAAAAAGAAAAGGTGGAAATCGACTCCAGCTCATGCAAGAACGGAGATGAGGCCTTCAAGTGCGAATGTCGAAAGTTCAACTCGTATCAGGCTTGACACCATGTCATGATCCTCCATGACTAAAGGTGGGCAGACAGATGCTCGCAAAATCACGAAAACACCCCGCAATGGTTTCCGATGAGCCTTTAAGACGAGATCCGAATCCAATAGACTGTGTGGGTTGTTTTATTGGAGAGCACAGTCTACGAGAATAAACCATGAAAACAGACCGAGATCGAGAATCACAGCTACTGTTCGGACTTCTGGGCTGAATTGTGGTGCCAGCTTATGTGTTCCGTTCCCCGGTCCCTCAACAAGGACTTTCTGAGAATAGGCACTCAATGGGTCTTTGCGAGGGCATGTCTCCTAAACTTGGTCTCTAGACCTCCGTTTCGAGCAAGGGTTGTGTCAACTTGCGTGAGAGTCCAGAGCCAACTGGAAAGGACTTTCAGCGGCATTCTGCAGGAACTATCACTACTCAGGAGCCACGATGTTCCTTATTTGGCTATCGCCATGAATTGCATGACTGCTGTGCCTTGGTATTTATCCGGTGACACAGCCAGGGAATTCAAGCTCACCCTCCATCAAGAAACATATGTTTATATATGCCAAGCGGCGCTCTGTCTCCCCCCGAAACACAGTGTCTCTAAGCTCCTTGAACACAAGCGAAATCTGCGACTATTAACCTCACTTGAAGCTTTCTGAGAACATACAAGAAAGCCACAATGACGATGTCGAAGCCGCCGCTTACGCTTTATGTTTCTTGAGTAGAATGAAGTCAATAGAATGCTTGCAATCGCTGTTTCCCTTGGCGGAGGGGAACCGCATTCTCGCTATGATAAGCGCAACTCACAAGTGCTGATACTGTTAAGCGTCCGTCTACCGCAAGGTTGGCAGTCCAATATAGTTTGGCAGGACCTGCATATCAACACCTCTCCGACGCCCTCATATGGAACAATTCGAAGGCTATCCACCTTGAAAATTGCATCCACCCGCCCTGCAAGAGTTTTGTTCTGGTGATAACCAAGACATTTGAGTTGCAAGTATGCAACAAGACCCTTTTGCATGAGCGCCCTTCCAATATCATCCACTCTGAGAACCTATAGTGTGCCCCTCCAATGTTGCCATGGTATACGCGACAGACAAATCTAATGTACTTGCCTTTCATTGCCGAAATCCCAATTCCTGTCTGTCTACCCTTTACCTGCTTACATTTCACACACAGGCAGGCTATTACCAAACGGCTGCAAACAGCAAGACTTGCGCGATGGTACCTATACAATCCCTTCCGGGGTTTGTAACATCTTTCCCGGCGATGATTACCTTTCTGATCTCACGTAGGTCATTTGTCTCTGTCTAGAAATTGAAAAGGGGTAGAAAAGGGGACGTGGAAGGGGATCCTTGTATTCCACCGCGGAACTCTTTTCTCCCCAAGCTTACAGGGCGCACAAACCTGAATGACTGACGAGTGACAGGCAACAGGAAAGCAGACTACACCAACGCCCTTCAAGAAGACTAGGGCCTCGCTCATTTGCTGGATCTTGAGACACAAAATTAGATAGAAGCCCCAGAAACGGCGTCAGTTAAGTCAAATCTACGTAGTCACCGTTGATGAAAGGACTAGGTATGTGATGAGGACTACAACGTCAAAGGGAACCACTACCATGACGTAGTCGTGGTGGGTTTTCAATAAACTTCAACAACTATTGTATGGGACTGAGGGTCAATATCGCTATGGGGTCATGTCGTGGTGTCACCGAGTGCCAGTGTCCTACCCTCCTCCCCGAGACCACAAGGACTACCTAGTGAGCAAGACACTTGAACTGACGCTGACACGGACATTGGTGCTGGTACCTCAGCTCCGGGTTGGTTCGAATCAACAAAAACGGAGGTTTGCCTGGTTCTGGTTGCAACAGTTTCTCAGTCTCTTACAGCGAGACCGAACTAAGTACTTGCTGGAGAAGAAAGCCATTGCGGAGGATCTGGGAGATATGTGTGAGGCTGAATCAGGAGGTTCTGATGCTTGTATCTTCAAGAAGACCTGAAAATACCATTACTTGCTTTATTTCCATACCTGCGTTTGTTTGCTGCAATACCACCGCATTCAGCTCTGTCCTCATCCATGATGATATAGCGATGGAGACAAGTATACAGGACGAGAGTCCTACTACTTTAATCAACCACAAAGCCACTCATCAATACCAAACTTCTTATGTCCTTTTTCGTCTTTCCAGCGTTCCCCTTCGCATAAACCTGTCCCCCTCACCATTTCGACCCTACCACGTAACCCCCACCTCATGTCCAATTTCTCACCACTATGATTAGGTACTTGACAGGTTTGGATGATGATGTGACGAATGGGACGCATCACAAGCCCCCAAACCCTAAAGCCAAACACCGAGAAGCTGAGGGTCTAGAAAGATAATATACAACACCTTATCTCCGGATACAGCCGCATATTGAAACATGCAAGTACTCACTGCTCAGTCGCAGATGGGTACGTCTTATAACCACTTACATAGATGTATCGCTCGCAGCTGCAACGCAGTTTCAAAGGCTCCTTTCCCTATGGTTTTTCTCTTATTGTTTTTTTTTTCTTAATTTTCTACCCAAGCAATAAAAATCTTTTTTCTCCTTTTGTTTCTCGTCTGTTTTTTTTAAAGATCACGTGGTACCCAATGCGAATGTCTATCTCTGCCCCCATCATAGTCACCAACCTGAAGCCACGGCACTGTCATGCCTTATCCTACCTTACCATCGGGGCGCTCCGTCGCTGTCTCTCTGTGCGGCTCAAACAATATGTGATGCAATACCCCCCCCC